ATTTCCTATTGATATTGTGCTCACTAAAGACAATAGGCTCCTAGAAGAGTTCTAGCCCCAGGCCTATTTTCTTTAGCTTTTATGGCCTTTAACAATAAAATACTCAAAATATCAGTACATATGTAGCAATACATAAAAGCTTGTTGTGCTTTTGTGGTTGTAATTGCGCAAAGCATGTATGTTTATGTTCTGGAAAGCCTGAATGTGTTGTGCATGCATATCTTGTTTGTGATCTGTGTTGGAATGTGGCTGTGTTATCTTGTACCTCCTCCCTTGTTGCCACTCTGCATGTCTGTCGTCATGTTGACAGGAGAGCCGTATGTCATGAGGAAGGCGCAGACAGCGATGGTAGTCCTGCGCGTGAGGTAAGCTGAGGTGTCTGTCAAGCCTGGTCCAGACAGCCTGGCCAGATAACGGTGACAGGGATCAGTGCAGTTCCTGGCGTAGCGCGGTCAGACGACACCGCCACGTCAAACCGGCTACGACAGACCTGGCCATGGCCAAGTGGCAACTGACACACAAGACCTGGACCTTATAGGAGGGGGATACAAGACAACACATCCACATAGCAGCATATACACATCACAGACACACAAGAAGCATGGAGTCATGTGCAAAAGTTTAAACACCCCCAGGCAAATGACGTTTTGTGAAAATAAGTTAGCACATCATCTACAGGGAACAAACTAAAATATGGTGTTTATCTGATAATTTTAGTGAAGAGTTTAACATATTGGAAAAAATAAAACATAAAATATAAAATGTGCCACAACTTAAGCACAGGCCTAAGTTTTTTTTTTCCCCTATATGTTAAATTTAGCAAATAAACAGTAAATTATGCATTACTCTGTAAAGGACATGTCAACTTATTTTAACTTAGAAAGTTAACAAAACATTGCATTTGATAAGGGACCCCCAAACATTTGCATACAACTCTATTCTTACATTAAATTACTTCTTTGTTCGTTTGTTCAGTATTTATATTGTGCTTTTCTCAAACCCTGAAAAAGTATTGCTGTTTGTCTTGCAATTCACTTACTGTAGATAATAGCTGCAATGTTTATAATTTGTGTGAAAATGATGTGACATATGATGTGTTGATGTAATACATCATGGCTACATTACTAGGTACTTTGTATCTACACTCATTGTCCATTTTATCATTTTATTTGTAAGTTCTACAATTACAGACTGTAGTCCATCTGCACTCTTAAAAATAAAGGTGCCAGAAAAGGTTCCTGGCACAGTGCCATAGAAGTACCAATTTTGTTTTTTATCTTATATTGAAAGTTTTATAGTGATCTTTATAGTGAGCAAATTTACTTTGTGTTGTTGTTGATATTGGAAGCAAGTAGCTAGTAATGTTAGCACTATTAAGCTCCAAATAACTAGGATAGCTATCTAAATAGTATGACAACCTAGCTTATTTACACAGAGGTTCATTTTATTTTGACGTGACACTTCTGTGTGAGCTTTTTTTTTTGTTGTTCCAAGGTCCAGTCCCCGTGCTCACATTCCCATTGAAGGCACTGTCCATGGTGGACAGGGGTAAGCATGGGCACTCTGACAGGTCTGTGACTACACAGCCCCATTTGTAGCAGGATGCAATGCTCTGTGTTTTGGGGCACATTCCTCCCATCATTATCATTAAAAAATTCTTGTGACTTGTGCCACAGTAGGCCTTCTGTCAGTTCAGACCAGAGGGGATAGCTGTTGCTTTTGTGCATCTGTTAGCCTTGAGTGCCCAACACCCTGCTGCCAATTCATAGTTTGCTCCTCCTCTGACCACAGTCGATCGATTCTCACCACTGCTGACCAGGAGCACCCCACCAGCCTTGCCGTTTTGAAGATTCAGGTGTCTGGCCCTGTGAAAGTAAATCAGGTCTTTTGACGTCTACTCATTTCTCCCACATCTAACACGTCGACTAGGACAACTGACGATTCACTTACCATATAATATATCCCAGATCTTGACATCAGTGTTCTGAGATAGTCCATGTTATTCATTTCATATGTGAGTGGTCATAATGTTTTGGCACATCATCTTATTTAACAACTTCTAATATATTTTAATATAAGATGAATATAATTTTTAAAATCTATTTTAAAACATTAGATAGAAATGCTATCATAAGGACATATAGAAGATGAAAAGATGGTATTTAATTTGCTGTAAATCCAGAAACACAGCTAAGTTTTTTCACACTTTTGTCCATATACTCTTTGAATTTATTTAATGCATAACTTTAATAGGTATCATACATTTTCAAGTAAGATTGATATTGATGCATCCTAAGATTTGGGGGCCACAGCATTGGATGACCAATACTAATTAATACACTGGTCATCGCCTAGAAGTGGCTTATAAAAAGAACAGAAGTATTTTGTTTGTATCCTATATACAGCTGTTTCTGGGTCAATTCTAAAATTCACCTACAATTTGTGTATTATGTATATATTACGAGTTTCATTCAGAGACAGCAAACTCATAATAGATCAGTGCTGAGGACAGAAAGAGGGCAATGAGCGGAAGTTACTGCAGACTACTGGTATTTGCCCAGGAGCCTAAGAATGATGTTAACGTATGACATGACAGGCAAGAATGAATAACTGCATGTGCACACATGTTCACACACACAAATGCGGGCCCAACACCCACACACACCAATACATGCATGCACAATGCCTAACTGTGTCATGTTGCCTTATTCTGGCCAATGGACAGCCAAGAAACAGTGTCACTTTTTCTCTCATGCATTTCCTAACATATGGGTATAGAGAACAGGTCTAGCCAGTCAGGCAGGATGTGAGTAAGGTCCAGGATGTGCTTTAGTGAGCCGCCTGAAGTTACTCACATACTCACTGGGAGTCCCCATGCAGTCTGCATTTGTATTCTCATAAAGAATGAAAAGTGTTACAACTTTAGGCAATTACAAGGGCGGAGTAAGAAGAGAGCTTTGTTTTAGGAATTTAGAAAATCCTTTGTTCATACAAACAACATGAATCAATATTATTAATAAAGAAATAGTATATTTGATCAAAATAATAGATTTTACAAATAGATTTCACAGTCTTATTTTTTCTTTATTTATTTTTGGGTATTTTAGAAAATTCTGTGCCAGACCCTCCTCTTTTCTTAACTTCTGTTTGTGCTGCAAGTATTAATTATAGATAACTGCTGAGTAGATGGTTATCATGATTTACTATTACTAACTGCCTTTCGTATATACCACTGCCCATGCATAAGTGTAGAAAGACTCTGGGGATCTCAAATTACTGAATAAGTATGGAACATATGGCATCCATGAACATTCAATTTTGGGCCCTAATTTATTTTCCCTATATATGACTCCATCGAATACTATTTTTGAAACAACCTTTGATATGCAGATGACACATAGTTGTATCTTCCACTGGAACAATCAAATCATCTCTCTTTGTCATACAGATGTAACATTTTGCATGGCAAGAAACTTTCCCTCTCTTAATGAGAATAAGTCCAATGTTATTGCATTTGGTTCTGCTGACAAAAGCATAGCTTCTTGGGTCCTTATTTGGGTCCTATTCCTTAACATTTGCACACTCTTACCTGTACTTTTCCCTTAAATATATACACTATATGGACAAAAGTATGTGGAAACTCATGTTTTAGCCACACCCATTGCAAACAAGTGTAAAAAATCAAGCACATAGCCGTGCAAAGTCAATAGACAGACACTGGCAGTAGAATGGGTCATACTGAAGAGCTCAATGTCTTTAAACATGGCACTGTCATAGGATGCCATCTTTGCCACAAGCCTGTTTGTGATATTTCTGCCAGCTAGATCTGCACCGGTAGGTAAACTGTAAGTGCTATTATTGTGAAATGGAAGCATTTAGGAAATACAAGAGTTCATCCACATAGTGGTAGACCATGCAAACATAGGGCCACCGAGTGCTGAAGTGTGCACCACGTAAAAATGGCATATTCTCAGTTGAATTACTAACTACAGAGTTCAAAACTGCATTTGGAAGCAGCTTCAGCACAAGAACTTTATTATGCACTATGCCATGTGTCTGCTGGAGTGGTGTGAAGCATGCAACTATTGGAATCTAGAGTAGTGAAAACATGTCTGGAGTGATCAATCCTGATTCATCTGATAATCTGACTGGTGAATTTGGATTTGGCGGTTGCCAGGAGAACACTGCCAGCTGGAATGCATAGTGGCAACAATAATGTTTGGTGAAGGAGGGATAATGGTCTGGGGCTGTTTTTCAGGGTATGGGCTCAGCCCCTTGGTTAAAGTGAAGAGTGATGTTAATGTTAGCATTTTAGACAATCATAGGCTTTCAACTTTGTGGCAGTAGTTTGGGGAAGGCCCTTTCTTGTTCTGGCATGACTGTGCTCTTGTGCGCAAGGCAAGGTCCATAAAGACATGGTTTGACGAACCATGATGTGGAGGAACTCCAGCGGCCTGCTCAGAGAACTATATCCTTTTTGTTGCTGCTCCTATGCTATGAAATAATTTACTTTTATTTTACTTCATTTTATTGCAGCAGTGCCTTTGTGTGTTTTATATATGTGATGTGCTGTACTGCCCTTTAGTGAGATATATTTGTTTTTAATTATTTCACTGTATCGTATATACTGGTTTTCCACAGAGAAAACAATTTTTACATGAATTTCGTACCTTCAAAAGCAGGTACTATGACCTGGCTAAACTCTTCAAATTAAGAGTTTGTAATCAATGTACTTTCTTACCACTGATGTAAAAACAAAATCCTTATTTTGACAGATGTGAATGTGTTCTTCCTTGTGAATATTGCTCACAGTGGATATCAGTCAAAAATTCTATTCATCCAAGCCAGCTGTTCTTCAGCTGATATGTAATAACATGAGTCCAGTGAAGATCAATTAGACATCTTTATTCTAATGAGAAAGATACATACGAACACTTAACAAAACAGGCTACAAAATAGGTGCCAAGAAAGAAGCGAAACACATTCATATATTCAACACTGATAATATGGTTAATATTGCATGTGTGGACAGCATCCACACTGTAACCATTCATCTTCTTCTGGATGTGGTAGCACTTTAAACATTGAAGAGTGTTTATTATAGCTTTATAGCTTTATAGTTTATTATAGGACTTTAAAGCCACATTCTGTGATTTTACAGCCATTATGAGCTTTTCTATTTCACTGATTATTAACATTCATGTTGATTCATGTTCAAATTATGTATTTTGCCATTATTGGCTGTTGTTTTTCCACATGTAAGGCTCTCTATGACTTTGAAGGAACCTCAAATTCATAGAGAGCTTTGCTGCAAATCAAGTGGCCTTATGTTTTAAAATCACAGAACATACCTTTAAATAGAGCACACCCATTTACCCTAAGGAGCCTCTGCTTTGAACAAGAACCATGATACTTCAGTGCTTTCCTGTTTATCTGGGGTAGATTATTTTAGGTTAGGGCAAACCTGTTCCTGGCATTGCTGAAAGTCTACCTGTTCATGTCTTCAGGCCATGCAGTCCTAAAAATAAAGGTGCCGAAAGGGTTCTTTATGATGCAATACTATAGAGGAACCTAATTTGCTTCCTTAAAGAAACTTTCAATGGATAGTTCTTGAAACCACTTTGCATATGAGATGCAAGACTGTGAAGAAGTTTAAAGAACTATATAATGTAAAGGTTTTTCCTAGAACCATACATCCAAACCACTTAGGAACCTTAATTTTTTATATTGTATTCTAATGATGAGCATGATTTTGGGTCAAATAATTAATACCAAACTAGAGGGATCTCCTCAAGGAACTAGGCCTGTCACTGCAGATTACAGAAATGGGTGAAAGAATGAGCTCCCCTTCTTGTTCTCTCTTGTACTGCACAACCTGCCACATCCCGCTCTCGTACCCATGTTACTCTTTCTTCTCTCCCTCCGTCGAGGCACCACCCTTGGTGTCAGGCTTGACCTTAGGGGGCGGGCTGTCGAGGAAGAAGTCATTGCAGGCCACAGTCAGCGCCCCCATGAGGATAATGAACTCGGTGAAGTCTACCTCGCCATCGTTGTTGGCGTCCAGGTCATTCATCACTCGCTCCACCGCATCTTTATCTTGTGCATTCTTTGAAGGATGAGAGATAAGAGTTAATGGGCGCAGTTATGCACAGATGTCAGTGTTGGGTTCTAAATGTAATGCGTATTTGGTAACTTTATGCCTGCATCCAAAACCACATACTACCATACTACACTATACACTTAAAAAAGGTGTTTTTTTAGTAAAGGCAATGGTTCTAGTTAGAACCATGAGTTCTATATAGAACCATTTGCATGCTTAAACAGTTCTTTGCATGGTGAAATGATTCTTCAGATTGATGGAGAATGTGTTGTATGTGGTTCAGTAAAGCACCAAAATGGGTTCTTTGTTTTTTACAAGTTTGGCACTGTAACAATGGCAGAACCCTTTTTCTTGCTATATAGAACCACTGTCAAAAAGGTTCTGTATAGAACCATAAACAATATATTCACCCTTAATCTGAAGAATCATAACCATTCAAGCATGAAATGGTTCTACATAGAACTCAGAAAACTGCCTTTACTAAAGGACCTTTGAAAAACCAAAAAAATCTTTTTAAGTGTGTACTAGTGAATGCATTTCTAATGGACATTTTTTGCATACTGTCAATTATGGTCATAAGCGGTTTTAGATGGAGCTTAAGAAGGGAAATGAAAGAAGCCTTGTGCAATGTAAGTAGATCTATCAACCTGTGTCCCTCTATATTTTCACATAATATATTTTCACATTTGTGTTTTGTGAGTTTGTGGTAATACATATCACTACGGTCACATAAATACCCCACAGCTCCATTCTTCATGTTTTTACATTTTTATACATTTGAAAATGACAGCTGCCCTTTACAGTGAACGTTTCCTGATGAATGGACCAATAGAAATGGTCCAAAATGACCTGAAATGATTAACTTACATTATAATTAAAGGCGTTCAAAAATGAAAGCTGGCAAAAATTGTTTTGAGTGTTTTGATGTGAAGTGGTTCATTGTAGAGAAACTCTGATTTCTTTACAGGGTGGTGATACGAAGTGAAGGAGCTTTTAGAAGCATTAAACTACAGATGTCTGATTCCTCCTAGCAGGGTGCACAAGTCCTGTCCTGGAGGTGGTTTGGTGATTTACCTGCTCAAACTCACCTAATTACACTTGTCTGTCAATGGGCAAGTTTAGTGGGCGGAAGTAAGTGGGAAGCTTCCACACTGTGCTGGACACTGCTTTCCTGGACCACAGCTGGGCACTTTCTCAACTCTAGTCCTGCACTTTTTAGTGTTTTCCCTGATCCCAACTTACCTGATCCAACTAATCAGCTTCCTAACAGCCCATTATTGAGTTAATATGACAGGAAAGCATGAAAATGTGCAGGGCAGTGGGCCTCAAGGACCAGGGCTGAGAAACACTGCTGTAGAGGTGTATTTCACATCAAACCACTCTGAATTAGTTTTTTTCACATATTAATCATTTAAATATTTTGACGTTTCTTCTCCTATAGAGGTTTTGTGCTGAAATACAAGGACATACCTGCATATAAAAGAATTAAAGTTCAAAATATCTCTAAGAAAGTTCTTCTGAATGGTTACATATGGGCTTTAGCTCTTCTCACCCCTAGATAGTTGCCCAGCTCCTCCGTCAGCAGTTCTCTCAGCTCCCCTCGGCTGAGTGTGTACTTGTCGCCTTCCTTCCCCGAGTACTTGTGGAAGGTCTTGATGAGCATCTGCATGGCGCTCTCCAGGTTGGTGCTTGGTTCTTTGGACATGCTGCCGAAGGCATTCACAAAGGTCAGAGGTTAGATACACCGGTACGTGGTGCACCCTTCTCTAGTCCCAGCCGCATGTGTTACATGACTAGCGTGGGAGGAGCTTTAGCTCAAGTGAAATGGCACAGACACAATGATTGCATGATGGGGGGCATAAACAGAGTGGTAGGATTATTAAAGTGTAAAGCACTAACCACAGTTTTAGATCACCTAAAATGAACCAAGAGTTCCTCATAGCTTTACATAGGAGATTTTTCTCATTTGAGAGAGAGAGAGAGATAGAGAGATAGAGTGGGGATCTGGGCAAGGATAAAAAGGGGCACTTCAAACGCAACATTCTTACATATCACATTTTGATCGTGGCATCTTGGTTCTTCTGTCTCCAGGCTCGCCAAGCTACTGCGATTATATAGACACAAACACAGTCATTGACCAAGTTCAAGAAGAAACAAATGTCCGAGGAGCAGCAAAAGAAAACTGGGATGGAGTTCACAAGCTGTTTAGGGTGAGACAACACAATGGAATTAGAGTGGTAACACTTTATTTGGATAGCCCACTGTAAATGCTTTGTAGGTGCTTATCCTGCAGTGAACATACATTCTAAAAGCTTATTAAATTTAAAATTTTATTAAATTTACCTTAATTCATCCAAACCATAACTTCAACCTAAATCTATATCTAACCCTACACTGTTTGTTAATAAATTGAACATCTGTACATAATCTACTGGGGGCTAACCAGGTAAAGTGCATTCATTCATTCATTCGTTTTTTATTTATTATAGTTTGTTGTTCAGTAATTAATCTGAAAACTTATCATTTAACAACTACTAAAATTTATTTGGTAACTGTTATGAAATTAATACGTAAGAGCGAGTCCTTGAAGTTAAAGGCAGGAGTCACCAGTCTTATCCACAGGGCTTGTGTGGCTGCATATTTACTTTCCAATCAAGCAGGAGCTCATCTGATTCCACTTGTTTAATCAGTTGGTCTCAGCCTACAAACAATTAATTTGTTATTTGAGGTGAGCTCCCGCTTGGTTAGATGCCGCCACACTGGCCCTATGTGGATCAGACCCCTGGTTTCAAGAGTTTCAGTTCTCATGATGTTCACATACTGAGTTTATTAGTGTGTGGACATCTAAATGATAGGGTTGCAGATTATTCTGGGTTAATCTATGTCAGCTTGTGTATCAGAGGTCACATCATACTACAGGAAAGAACATCAACAGATAAAACCCAAACCTGTTGGAATGTAGATGTAATGAATGCCAAGACACAACCAATCCCACCCCACCCCCAAAAATGAACAACAAAACATCAAAACTATAATAACACTAAAACAAAATAATAACCCACTAATACAGCCATACAAAAGGAACCTCAGTTACTAATGGTGCTGTAATATAAATTGAATTGTATTCTACACAGGCCTCATGCAGCCTACTCTGCCTATGGTCTTATTCAGTTTAAAGACCTCAAGCTGTCTTCTATATGTTTATTTTATTCAAATTCATTGTAGTACCTTCCAATACATAATCAACTGAGTACCGCACATGGTCATCTAACATTCACGACAACCGATTCTGGAGTAATGACATGTTTTTGTTTTCCGCTCTACCGCATGCCACTGCGGATGTAGAGCAATTTCATTGACGTCAGGTCTAAGACAAGGTTACTCGGCTGAGGGACATGCGTCTCCAGTACCCATTTCAAGTACTACACCATCTAATTTCACTAATTAATTCACCAAAGCGGCAGTCTAATTAGGCAGCTCAGATGGTAAGGTGCAGGCCTGGAACAAATACCTGCGGGCACTGTGCCTCCAAGAACTGGAGTTGTATGACACGAGTTATCTGGAGCATGTTAAGAAAGACCCCAAAAAGAGCATGCAGGTGTTTGGCAGGAAAGTGTATGGCACAAGTCATAAGATGAAGTAGTGAGATGGTTAAATGTCTACTCTGTATCACCCAAGTAAGGAAGCCTAGCAAGAAGACGAAATATGGCACATCATTAAAGACAGGAGGTAATGCGATGATGTCTTAATTAGCATGGGAGGAATCTACAAGACCACAATGAGAAGCCACAGCAACCAACACAGTGGACAGTAACGTAATACGGTGACCTAGTGACACCAAAGAAATCGGCATTGGTGGTGTGGTTGATAACTTCTTCGTACACTAACCTTGAGGTCTTTTTGTATGTTAACCTTACACTTTTGGCAATGCAGTCCTAAAAAATGACATGGAGGTGAAAAGTCAAGTCATAGCATGTCTAAGAAACCTTAAGGAAAGAAAAATGATTGAATCCAACACAGTCTTCATCAGAGTACTTTCAAAATGTGATCAGATAGACCAATGATTACAATCCTATAAAGAATCATTCAAAAAACAACCTAAGGACAGTTAAAAACCAAAAGCTGGACTGATCTAAATGGGCAGTCAACAGCTTAAGGCTGCCCAAGCTCATTTCCAAGCTGTCCATCTTACCTGAGTGTTTCTGAAGAGCCTCCTTTGTCTGTGATGAAGAGCGAGAGATACGGATAGACAGCAAGAGAGCGGAGGAATGGATGAGGAGAGAGTATCTGGAGGGCTTAAATATCACTCACCCCCCCTCCACCCCTCCTCGCCGTACATGTCCCTCAGCTTCTATTTCTCCATCCCTTCCTCCCTCCCTGCTTGATTGCATCATGATGCAAGAAGAGTCGACACATGGAGAGTCTACAGGCAAATGGAAGTTAGCTTTGCAGTCCTTTTTTGCTGGCTGTTTATAGACAGAGTTTATATACCAGTAAAGTCTTAGTATTCAAATAGTATAGCATAGAGAATGGTGGTGTATTTTGAACCATTTAGATAGGTCCTAAGCTTATTTAATTACTAAGTTGTAGCTAAATGGCCATAAATTTGTGGCTTTGAAGGAATATTAATAGGACTTTCGACCTAACCTTTATGTGCCTCATCTGTAGTCAAACAGTCCAGGAAGCAACTGCCCATTGGCTTGTATTATAGTCAACAGGTTTTCTCTTCTTTCTCAGTACAGGAAAACCTGAAAATTACTGTCCACAGTAATCAACTGTACAGTACAGATGCGGTAGAGAGAGATTAGGATAAACAATGTGAGAGAATTTCTTTAACCAGCCTGTAAATTACTCAAAATGTTAAAGAAAAAGCCAGTATAAATATCACTGCTGTCAGACCAAAACGTTATATCTCAATTGTTGTTTTTCAGTTTTTGACATCATTTGAAAAAAACTACTGTCCTTTATATCGTGTGTAAATTTCAAGATTAATGGACCAAAAGAAATGGCCCTAAATTACTTGGAAAAAAGTCTGGTTCCATTGACTTACATTAAAAGTAAAATAAGTTTTTTCCTTCTTCTTTAAAGTTACTATTTTGGAGATAAAAGCTTTTTGTCTGACAGCAGCGATATGCTCAATACAATGCTAACAAAGAATCAGTTGCAAAGCACTCATTTTGTGACAGTAGACAATTTGTAGTCATGTGGTTTTCACGAGTATTCCTTCTATATTTAATCTTTTCAGGCCACAGCATCTTCTGACCTTTAGTTAATGACGGTAAAATTGTGATAAAATCAGAAAAATAAGTTTTGGGTATGATTTTGCTTTACAACACCCTGCATGTACAGTTATATGCAAACATTTGAATGGCTAATACGTTATGTTGATTTTGTGAAAATAAATTAACACATCCTCTGCATGTACTTAAATATGAGTTTCTGCACAATTTCTGTAAAAATATAACATGTGCCATAAAATGTAGCTTGTTTTGTTTTTGCCCAGTATGATAACTTCAGCAAATAAATAGTGACAGTGCATTAAGATGTGCAGAAGCGTGTTCGCCATAGAGTATGTGCTTACTTGACCAGGGGCACCCAAACTTTTGCATATGAAGGTTCCTCTCTGCCATGAAAGTTTTTAAAATGCTGTAAAAAAATGTTTCAAGAGCACTAGGTAACCTCTCAATGTAATTTTATGTACCAACTTTCTATGAGGTAGCTGTGAGATGCTAAACTCATAGAAACTCATTTCACATCGAACTGCTCTCAGTGACTGTTTACATTTCAACAATTTCATTAATAAAAAATGTGGAAAGTCAGTGGAACTCCCATTCTCACTCAGTGTGTAAAAGTAGGGCTAAATTAGAAGATATGGAGCTCTACAAGATGGAATCTTTAGTTAAAGTGACATCTGGGGTCAACTGGGCATTTACATGAGCTAATAGCTCTAATCACCAAGCTCTCTGCTATATATTCATATCAGATTGTAAACAGTGAGCACTGCATGAGCAGGACTTGAGTGTGGTGCTGCCTACAGGAGGCTGGCATGGTGGTGTCCCATATCGCTTTACAGAGTGACGGCGCATTGATAATGCTAACGTAATGGAGCCCCACGTCACCGGGCACGGTACAGAGTCAGACACACCAAAAGCAAACAAGACAGTAACACAGCCGCAGAGGTGGTTTTACATAGCTGAGAGATATAAACATGATCTACCTGCATGTGCTTGTTGAGCGCCACTAAATAGTACACAGGTATAGGCTACACGTTTGGGGGGAGGGGGGAAGTATGCATTTAGCTACCTTATTGTACCTGATGGTAAATAAAGAAAGATAATTGCAACTTTATGTTAATCTGACAAAGAAAGACAGTTGTGACTAGTTGTGACAGTTGTGAGTTAATCTGGGCACTATGATATTTAATTGGTAACACTTTATTTGAGCCGTGCTACATAATATTGATATGTCATAATCAGGGCTGGGATGTGACAGGATACAAGAATTGGGAATCCATCCAGAACACAAAAATTAAGTATCTGAATTCAGTCCAAGTTAGATTTTATAATGACAATATTCAGAATACAGTTATATACACCATCCCAGCTTCTTAAGTAACCATTTTAAAATACGCACACAGCATGTAAAGACTTACTCTAAAGAAGAACTCAAAAAAATGGCTTCTTTACAAACACAGGAGTTCCTTCTAAAGTTTGAATGGACTTATAAATCATTGTGATGAGCCATTTATTAATCTGAACATCAATAAACTATTGTAAACTACATTGTCCGGTGATAAGCTTAGCTAAGCTGTTATTGTACTGGACTTGTGCATGCGCTCTGTGGCAGGTTACACACCTGACGTTAACTGAAAATCATACAGCAACTCATTTTATAGTCAAACTTGCAAGATTTTGTTATTGGGATAGAGCGAATTCTTGGCTTAGGTCATGAAACAGCAGGAAAATTATAGGAGCAGCAGTGGACTGAAGCAGGCCACTGAAGAGGAGAGCCAAAATAATGAATTTTGTATTCATTTGAATAATTGAAGTTTTCATGAAAAATATTGTCAGAAGAATTACATGAACAAAACTGCCAACCAGTAACAGTGAGGAACAGAGTGAATTCAATAAAAATGATGGCAGAGTTTTTTATACTTTTATAACATGTATTATAAATGTATTCTGAATACATAACTTTGTATGTATTGTATTGGAATATGTTACTGAACACATTTAGTGTAGACAATGTATTTGATTTTCAGCCATTACTACTTTTTCAAAGTATTTAGCCCAAGCCTGGTCATGACAGTTTATGTCACATACCTAAATTCTGCTAAGTGTACTCTAATTAGCCTTCATGATATCAAACATTATGACATCTGTTATGACTATTAACAGTCAGGCAACTGTAATATTACAACGGATGACAGCTTATGGTATAGTTATATCATATGTCAAGGTTATGTAGCAGTGTTCAAGAATAATTAAATAATAAATGGAATGGACTATTTCTACCACATTTTATTCCATGTTTGTGGAATTTACATGGAATTTCACAGAATTTAACTAACAGGAATAGATATAAAATAGAATTAGCTATTAGACAGATGATACATAATGACATTTCTCAAGAAAAACAACAAAGAATTGGAGGCGAAGTCGAAGCCAAGTATCAGATTTTCCAATTTCAAGCTCTCGATACATGGCAAGTAACAAAAGTAAGCTGAATAAAATGAATTATCGATACATGATTAAGTAAAACATGGATTACTGCGGATAACTGATTGATAATCACTTGTTAATAGTTTCTTTCAGAGATACATACATACATACAAATGATACATTAAACATTTTAGTGGTCTTTGAGATGCTGCGTCGTTAGTATGTTATGTTAAAGCCCCGGAATTCAGGAGTTTCAGAAATTTCCAAAACAGGGCCATAGAGATGTTAAAGAAGGGAAGATGATGATGCAGCACATTCAACAGCTACTGCATAGATACGATCAGAAATGCAGAAGTTGTTAAGGACGGAAAGAGAACTAAATTAGGGGTTCTCTACTGTTGTCCCATCCAACTCGGAACTAGATCCTCAAAGCTTCACTGTACGTCTTTATCACTGTTAATTGTAACAATTCACATTCATATTTTGTTAGTAATACTTCTGTGCACACATAAAACGAGTTAAGTAATCGTACTGATAGGTCAGCTGAGGTCAGAAACAAAGCTAAAACAAGCATCTCAACTGTGGTCAAATTTGAGATCTCTAGGCTACAATGAGCACTTAGAATGAGGCGTTCTTTCTTTTTTTCCAGTTCTGACTTGTGGATCATATGTAGATCACATTGCATGGAGGACACCTGGCTATTCTGGGGCCTCCCTGGGTCAGTGGCCCAATGCTTTAGGGCTATTTTGGGCTCCCATGGGGCCAGATGGGTCCCCTGGTGTGGATTCCATCCCAAAGGTTCTTAATTATTAAGCCCCGGTCATTATTAGGACACCGAGCACCTGATATACGAGTTCTTGAGACAAAGCTAGACAAAGCTAGTTAAGTGAGAGAGGAACGCAAACGCATGTAAGGTGGAGGCCAACTGTGAAAGAATAGATATGTGGGCCATGGAGAGGGAAAGAGCTCAAGCTTTGGGAGAATGACATCAAGCAGGCCACAGAAGAGATAAAACCATCCTAATTCTGGAAGAGGTGAAGGGAAAGAAAGAGAACAAATGAAAGCATAAGAACACACATGCAATTGAACTGCACACTTAAAGACACAATTTGTTTATTGTCATGCAAATGAGACTTCATTCAATTTTAGTGGTTTGTGAACAAGGGCTCAGTATTAGTCACCGCTTCTTGTGAAATAGTGAAATAGTGTTAGCATGCATGTACAGCAACCAACTGTGTACAACAAGACCTAAACAAAAACCAAAGTGATGGTGGTGTTGGGGGGTGGTGGGATCAGCATGCTTGTCAGAGGATCACTGGTAGGCATACTATTGGCTTACAAGTAGCACCGGAGTCGGCTGATTGATTGAACATGCCAATAAACTGTAAACTTGTAAACGTATTGGCACAATTAGAAATCCATGTTGGAATATAGTGTTAAATCTTTAAATGGCAAAAAATACAATACAGGTCAATATAAATGACAATATACATAAGGACATGTAAAAATGAATAATTGAGTGTTTATGCTACAACGTAGTGGTAAAAAAGATGTAGTGTTGGCCAAATTCAATGGGCTATGTAATAAAATATGTTGTTATTAAAAACATGAGATTGAAATAGACAAAAGGGGTACGGGAGGGTTTGAGAAGTTTGCTTAAACTATCTCAAGCTCCTATGAGGTCTCCTCCACCTCTGCCTTCCCTTCTGCCTTCGCTCCTTCCTCTTCCACTTCCTCGGACTCATCCTTCACTTTGGCTGCTGCCACCTCCTCTTTTACAGGCTCCGCCTCGTTCTTTGCTTCTGGCTCCGCATTTGCCGCAGTTGGGGCCTCGGTCTGTGTCTCCGGGACTGAACTCACCGGTTGTGTCTCCTTCTCATTGCAACGTTGCTGACTGAGCGCCTGTGCCAGGTAGCCAATCAGAGTCATGTACTCCTGGAAGCTGACTTTGCCATCTTGGTTTGAGTCAAGGCCCTGACGCATCTGCTTAATGGCCTCAGTGCTGTCAGTATCCTAAACACAAATATAAACAAGATTATGTGTAGTTCGTAGTTATGTGTAGTTAGTTAAGTCAACTGCAAATTAGACCAAAAACAAAGGACATCAGTAAGTTTTGCTGATTCCTGCGCAGCAGTACAGGCAATTGTTAGGAGCTCTGCTTTCCCATTGCTGTTATCCTTTGAGATCACCGGAGCCATATTCCAAAAGTCTAAGCATACAACCACAGAACTAAACAGAGATACTTGTGATAAGAGATTGAGAACAAAAGAACCATATACAGTTGTAGACAAAAATTACATATTTTGTTGATTTCTGAAGTTAAATTTATAAAAAGACATATTCCGGCAAATGTTAATGCACAGTGACTTTACCTTTAATTAACTATTAAAATAATAGTAATTGCAGCATGTGCAAAAAACAGACACCTTACACCCTACTAACTACTCAGCGTTTGCAAACACGTTTTTTTGTCAGCTAGGAGTCCTATTCTTCCTTTACGAATCTACACCTATTCTTCCTTGCAGAACACTTCTATTTCTGTGATATTCTTGTGCAGTCTTGCATGCACAGCATCTTTGAGATCTACCCACAGATTTTCAATGATGTTCAAGTCCGGATTCTGTGAGGATCATTCCAAAAGCTTCAGATTGCATTTCTTGAAATAGTTCATTATGGATTTTAAGGTATGTTCTGGGTCACTGTCCTGTTGTAGAAGCCAGACTCTTTTCAACTTTAATTTCTTTTCTGTTACATTTGCTTCCAAAATTTGCTGATATTTAGTAGAATCCACTCTTCCATCTACCCGTACAAATCTTCCCTTGACCTCCACAGTTCCCCTTAATTGCCATTTCTCAGAGACATTTTTGACTGGAGCGCTTTAAAATTATCAGAAAAATGTTTTACTTAAAAATGTTTTGCTGCAGTGGTTGCATTTACTTCCTAACCTATTTGATATACAGTTCAGCAACTGTAATCTAATGGGATGTTGCGGTCATTTACCCTATAAGAAACTTTAGTGCTGCAGTGGAATAAATTTAAGCCAGCACTTAACAGAGCAACAGAAATGGTTAGGACGAGTTATTTTAGGACCTAGGATCTCTGATGAGATGGGGAACGATGGGGATTGAATTTGTATGATATATACAGAATGCCATATTGCCATTATACGGCTGCATGCTGTGATTGCAATATGCAATGTGATTATGTTAATGCCTTGATTCATACACACATTCAATGAACGTTTACATGAAGGCCGATATCGTGGTGATAATTAACAAACGATACATTGTCCAGCCTCAGACTGAATAGTCAACCTGTCAGATTATCAGTCTGGATTTTGCAGAGAACAGGCAAAGTTCCTAACCGTCATTATGTTCTTCAGCTGGTTCTTCACAAGGCTTTGGAAGTCCTTCTCCCCAAGGTTCTCCTTGCCTTTTGCTGATTTTAAGAAGACTGACACCACTGTCTTGATGGCCCCTTCCATGTTTGCTCTTTATCTGCATATGAGAGAAGGAGACAGGTTTGAGTACGAGATTAAAAACCATTCATTATTTACATATGTGATTCAGTGAAGGTCATAAAAGAGCAGATGTAACATTCTTACTGTTTACAGATAACTAATTTGATTGATTAAACCTGTTTGTATTCCAGATATTTGGAACAAAATAAAAAATAAACACAGATCATTATTCTTAATTTAAGATGTATGATACAGTACAATCCGAGGTTTTTAGGCAATTTGGTAAGCACCGTTTACCTCAACAGCACAAATGATCTGCTGGCTCCAACTGTTCTATGTGTAGAGAGTGGAAATCTTGGGGCTATGAACTGACAGTTACTGGAGATAAGGGAAGAGAGGAGAGAGGAGTAAGTCGCCACAATGGCTCTCCGTATCTTTGATAGGTCATCTGATCTCCTGAAGGCCTAACTGCACAGTGGCTTCGTATTACCAGAGGGATTACCAACACCAAACTGTTTTTTCTTCTTTCTCTAAACCCGTTTTTCCCCCCTCTCAAGCGGTCACGTCGCCGTTACCTACAGAGTCTCTTTCCTTCTTGCTCAATCGGTCATTTATCTCTCGCTGTCTGCTCTGCTCTTTTGTCTCATATACCACAACACGTGCACGTCACTGCTACACACTTGAGCCAGTTTTGGGTATGTGAAAGCTTACAGACATTGCATGACAGAGTAATAATACTGAAGGTAATACTGGATACTGCTGCTCCTATATTAAAACCAGCAGCTGCTCTTCACAATGATCATCAGAAACTGTCCAAAATGACTTGGAATAAAACCGCTACACATTCATTTATATTAAACGCATAAAAAGTATTAAGAAAGTTTTGCTTTCTCCTGTAAAGTTACCATTTTGGAGATTTTTTTGGTAAGATAGCGTCGATATCCTGCATAGTTTTGATATACTCTATTGTACCCTTTAAAAAAAAAGTGCCACCAAGGGTTCTTTGAGCAAAGCCATAGAAGAACCATTTTAGTTCCCTAAAGAACCATGTTTGTAAATGATCAGATGTGTGGGTGTTTAGGTTCTTTACCATTTTAAGGATTCTTCCCAGAACGTTTACATTATGTGGAGGCTTTTTAAACTTTAGATTATTCACACTCATACATCTCATTTACCAAAACAGTTCTCTAAAGAACCATCTGAGGAAAGGTTCTTTAGGGAACCAAAAATTGTTCTTCTGTATGGTCATACAAAGAACCCTTACTGGCACAAACATTTTCACGACAGAACCACACTCTTGAACTACAAATTGGTTCTATAGAGTAGCAAAAAAAAACAAAAAAAAAACCGTCTTTTTTGGGGCTATATACAACCATTTTAAAAGGTTCTTTAAAGAACCATATACAACGGGTTTTCCATTACACAGACAAACCATTTAATACAAATACAAATAACAATTTTTGTCATTCAAATGGTTCTTTGAGTTGTCATGGTTCTATCTATAACCAATGCCAAGAACCCTTGAAGAAGTCCTTTGTTTAAGGGTGCAGTGCTGTGACAATGACTACATTAAATACCTTAAATTACTCAATATTTTACATTTGACCTTCTCAGTTAATCAGCAGTGATAAGTTTACATGATGATAATGCGTGTTTTAAATTCTCCTACTGATATCTCTACACACCTATTTGCATACATTTTTTCTTCTTCTAGCTTTTTGTTAATTAGTTAGTTTGTTTAAATTATTTTCTAAAAAAAACGCTGCATGCTTTGTTATTGTGAATTTAAGTCCGTGTTTATTGTTTGGCCTTTTTTTTAAATTTTGTTTTCTCAATTAACCATCAAAATGACTGTTATGCTGCTCGATTACTAACATAATCAATTGCGACAGCCACAGGCAGAACATGATGTAATAACCCGTATGCAGTAAATTCCTTCCAGTATCTGTTTAACAAACACGAAGCATGCCAGTAACACATGAACAACAGAGCAGAATGTGTGATACAGACACAGATGAAAACAACAGAAAACAGCCAGTGACTTGTTAGCATGGAGATTCCATGCATTGCTGTCTGTGTGAGTCACTCAAACTTGACTGGAATGTTAGCCTCACTATTGCTAGTCTACTTCAAATTGTCGATAAAGATGGGACTTTGTTTCTGCACTTTTCTAAGTAAAAAAGAACCACTTAAAACCAGTAAACAATGAATGCTTTGGCCTAAAAGAGATCTCCGCAGGTGTGTTTACTCGTGACTCACTGTGGTACTGGTAAATGAATGGACGCATGCACCACACACACACACACACACACACACACACACATACTCTCTAACAGCCTACCCTCCTCACCCCGATCTACAGTAATAAGTACATGTACCGGTGGTTACCCATTAGGAAACATAGCTCTTAGGACTAATTAGTAGGAACAGAGAGTGCGAGCCGACGAATTACTTGCTTATTAAAGTATTTGGTTTCATAGACTGCTTGACAGAGGAGCGAGGACACTGCCATGAGAGTCTCTGGCATGCAACACAGGAAATAGTTCTAGATCTCTGCTATGAAACCAAACCACTTCTAACTACAAGCCTTTCATAGCGTATCCACTGACTGTATACTTTCAACTTTAAACCATAGGCTTTTATACTTTCACACCTATGAAAAAGTAGGCCTGTAGTCAGTCATATGCCAAAGTTTCAACAACTCCAGTCAGATTACGTGTTCTGTTTATTTTCTAAGTTAACATCCTCTACAGGGAACAAACTTAAATATGTGATTTTCTGCTGATTTTATTGCACCATTTCTATTTAATACTGAATTTAACGTATTGGAATAAATAAAGCATAAAATATAACGTGCCATAGCTTCTGCACAGCCCACGTGTTACATTCAGCAAATAAACATTGTGCATTAAAATGTGCAGAAGTGTGTTCACTTTACAACACTGGACGTTAAAGTAATGAGACTTTACTCCAAGCAATTTTGGACCATTTCTATTGGTCCATTCATCCTCATGTAACACTGTACTTCGATATACACAGTACTGTCATTGTAATAACAAAACCATGTATATCTGAGCACGGCAGCTGCCCATTACTTTGTGTGTACACACGTGATGAATGGACCAACAGAAATGGTTTAAAATGAATCGGAAGAAAATCTGGTGACATTCATTTACAGTAAAAGTTACCATTTTGGAGATCGTATATATATATATATATATATATATATATATATATATATATATCATTACTGTTAGAACTAAATTCATTTTACGTCAGTTTACACTGAACATTAAGGATGTTTTTTTTCCTTCTTCAGTAAAGTTACCAGGAAGAATTACATGGTTTCTGATATTATATATTGTTTGATATATACACAGAGTTAAATAATTACACATACAAAAAGTCATAAGGTATGTACTTCTAGCCTAATCTGAACTCCATGTCTTTTGAGGACATTCATTAACTAATAAAACCATGATTCTGAATGAATCACAGGCTGCTGAATCTGTGAAATGAGCTGAGTGTAAAGCTGCCTGAGAAAGTAGTGTCAGTGCCAGTGCTTATCTACATTACTATCTCAGCACACGAGCTCCTTCTCTCCGGGACAATGAACTGCTGTCACAAGTCCTACAAGCACTCTAAGGCTTAAGCTCTGACAACATTGTCTCCACAAGCCCATTTCTGTTGACTAGGTGTTGCTGAATGAGCTTGCTGATCCCTGCACCCCAAGGTGGCCGACCTCTCAACTGCCATTCCAGTCGTAAAGTCACATAAATGATTGAAGGCTTGGCCAGTAACCCGGATATTCCGTGGGCTGCTGAACGCTGGAGCCAAAGCCCAGCAGAGGTGGCTCGAGTAGCCTAAAGGCGTGCTAAATTGCCAAGTAAAAGTATTATTAGGCTGCTTCAGTGAATGATGTAAGTTAAAAGTAGCTACCACAAACAACCTGAGTAGGAGTAAAAAAAATTAGCAGGTCTAAAAATGTCTCAGGATCAGAGTTCCCTACAGAACTGTACAAGAAAATGCAACATCTGTCAGCAGATACATTTATTAAGCAATATTCTTCTCTTTTTGGGATCCTTTAGGTTTAAAATGCTAAAAGCTTTACAAAGCTCTTCAAATCTTCATTAAAGGGAATGGTTCTATTTATGACTGTGATTTCTATATAGAACCATGTGCATGTTTAAACAGTTCTTTGCATGGTGAAATGGTTCGTCAGACTGATAGAGAATGTGTTGTATAGGGTTCTATATAGCACAAAATACATTCTTCATTGTTACAATGTCAAGCTTGTAACAGTAGCAGAACCCTTTTCAAAACGGTTCTATAGAACCACACACATACAACACACCAGCATGAAGGGCTTCTTTACAAAAGTCGTGGCTCTAATCTGAACCTTAACACCCCTTGAAGAACCATCTTTTTAGGTGTGTATGCTACTACAGCGCCCTTTTTACCAGACACGTATCCGCACGTTACTGAGAAAAGTATCCAGTGTCCAAAGTCAATCGAAACTGCACTTAAGCACATGAAACTGAGGAAATGGAACTCGTTTCCAGCCACCGCCGCATATTATTACTCACAAAAGACATAAAAACCCGAGGCATATCATTAAATATGAACCCTGACGGGCTCCCGTTTCTCTGCAGTGCGCGATACAGATTGAGGGAGAACGTGATCCGCCCGGGTGCCATGAAAAATTCACAGAGGAACAAAGTCAGGCTGCGTATAAAAGCGGCAGCGGCCTTTCCTCAGCCGCGGGTCCGTCCAGCACCACACTCGGCATGAACCACAGACTGGACTGACCAGACAACCCAGCATTAATACGAGACTGGCTGGCGTGAGTCCTGTGTAATTTAGAGTATAGGAACGCAAATTAGGGTTTACACGAATTCCTCTACAGCGAGAGAGAGAGAGAGAGAGAGAACAAGCTCTACAGTGAGGGGCAGCAGAGGAAGAGCACTAAAACCACACTGACGTCAACGAGAACTGTGATATGTCACTATACTGATAATAATAAGAGTAATAATAAGAGTAATAATAACACTAATACAGATGGTGATAAGCTCAAGACTAGTGAGACTGCCTTTAGTACCAGACGCTGGAAACTCGCGACGTGTTAAAATGCGATTCAGACAGTGAGCAAAGTAAAAGAGCCTGAGCAGCTGTGACAGAGCTCAAACCTTCAGTATGTGGCCTGTGAAACCTTAGAAAGCTGTCAAACTCTCACAGCTCGCTGCACTTCTCTAACAAACCACCCGAGCACACAACCAAACCACAAACCCGACCAGCAGCTTTCATCTTACACGGCCGCGCTTTTCTTCAGCGGTGACAAAACTGAAGAGAAAAGGATGAAAATCGACGGGTTTTTGTGTCAGTCGTGGTTTAGCGGTGACGGTGGAGCAGAGAGAGCTTCAGCACAGCCGTGCAGCAGGACGGGTGTGTGTGTGGCTGTGAGTGTGTGTGTGTGTGTAAAATGTAAAACGTGGCGCTGAAAGTGAAGCTCCGGCGGCTCTCTGAGGAGAAAAGCTCACAGGAAAAGCTGAAGGTGCAGCTAAAGCGGCTTGGCGCACTTACCCTCAAACCCGGGACACGAAAAGACCAACGAAGAGCAGCTTTTCACACCTCTTCCTTTTCCCTCTTCTCCCGTCTCTTCCCCTTCTCTCTCTTCACCACCAAAAACTTGTCAAACTCGAACGGCCACAGAATCTCTTCCGTGATTTAGTTTTTTTTTCTCTTTTAACTTTTTTTCCTCTCCGCTGACAAGTCAGAGGGCGTGTACGAGTGGAGGGGGAATTATGGGCCGAGCTTCAGCCACAACACAGCAACGTTTCAAAAGGGAAAGAAAAAAAAAGATTTATTTAGAAAGGTAACCGTGAACTCACTCTTCGTTTCAGTTGTGGAGAAATTGTCGCTGCTGGTTGTAGTTCGCTGCTAATTTGGTTTTGAGGTGGAATGAGATGCATGAAAGAGTGGAGGAGGGATTTGAAGTGAGGGACACAGTGTATTAACTCCTTACTCAACACTTTCAGGTCACCGTCAGATTTACTGACCGCTGCAGCAGCAGCGCTGCAGGCGCGAGCAGAAATGTTAGTGACTGAGAGGTTCCCGCGTTTTTGGAGTAAGGCATCCTGTGAGGCGGCAGTCCTGAACGCCCTGTGTAGAGTAGGAGTGTAACGATACACTCATCTAGAACCCGGTCTGATAAGATACAGCGGCGTCTCACTGAGTGCGTTCACATGCACCTAATAATCCGAACTAAACAGCAAGAAAAGTCAGACTTTGTCAGTAATTCGATCAACGCGCTATATGCACTTGAGTAATCAGATAATGGGAAACACTAGGTCTACATGAGTCAGACAGTAATCAGATTTATGCTTTGCAATCAGCCAATGAACTCATACAAGAAGACGGGACGTAAACTTAATATAAAACTCAAATTCATGCCGCGGCTTTTTTTTTTAAACATCGAGTCACTTTACTTGAAAATGTGAACATACATAATCTAGAAGACGAAGAATACTTGAATCCTTCATTTCGTCAAGAATCTGGGTAAGAGTATACATGCAGGAGAAATCTGATTACTGAGCTGAAATCCAGCTCTCTTTATCGGATTTCTAGATGGGAGTGTGGTGTTTACATGACCATTTGAATAATCGGATAACTGCAGAAATCCAATTGTGATCAGATTATTGAGTGCAAATGCACTCAATATGATGCATTTCGATAGTTACAAAGTATGGATGTGCCTCATGCTTATATATTAATATGTTAATGTTTGCACCGTCCCAGATAGCCAGGATATATCTATAAGTATGCTGCCTTGATAAGGTCGGCAACACTTGATAAGGTTGGCAGTGACTGTATGGCACTGCAGGTCCACCCTCAGACTACCCACATCAAAAAGCCAGTGGACCTTGTGTGCTGGATTATAATCTCCTCAAACAGACTTTACATGCACATAGACCTTTATTTTGGAACATAAACTAATACAAATAATTGAGAGAAAAATAATTAATGACAAGGCCTAATATAAAATGATTTTGGTGAAAATGTTGCTGACACTGTGCTAGATTGGATACAGCTTTATTCATGATATTTCTGTTAAAATTATTCACTAATATAGAAGGGATAACAAAAGAAAGAATGGAAGGAAAAATGAGTAAATTGTACGGTGTGAGTGGAAAATGACAAAAATGTCCAATAGAACTGTTTTCACTGCCAAATGTGCTTACAAAATAAAATAAAAATAAAAATGACAGATAACTGATTTATAAAAAGCCCAGAAGACACATCTATAATAATGCCAATTTTTGCTAGTGGCTCTGTGGGATTCTGGTAGTTTGTTAGCGTTAAACTAAACCTTTCATGTTTTTACCTGAAGTTTGTAACAGTCAGATTGGTATATGTTTCGCAGTGACTCAGTAGTGAGGCTGGTATAGAGCTGCTTTGCCGTTATCCATTTCTAACAACCAGTAATTAGGCTGCCGCTCATATTTGCAGTCAGTGACATATTTAGGACTTCCAGAAGGCCTAGAGTGACTTTTTTTCCTTCAGAATTGGTCACACCTACTGGAAATGTAAGGGTGATTGGGTGATCCCTCTGTCACTTTGTAATTATACAGATAGTTAATCAGCAGGCAGATAATCATTAGGCCTTCTCTCCAGCTCTTGAAGTCCTAACCAATAGGAGAGCTTGCTTAGCTATATCTACCCCGAGACCACAGAGAACAACAATTTTTCCACTGGTCGTTTCAAGAATTTTAACCCTTTTGTTACCATCCAATACTTTATAATTGACCATTTGTAGCACTGTAATACAAGCGTGATTCTATCAGATAAAAATTAACTCAAAATTACAGACGTATTTTTTGATTCTTGGGAGAGACTGAGGGGCTTACCAGCAATAGTTCTGAATTTCAGTACACTGTTTCCTTTTTGGATTTTTTGATACATATTGAAATCATTACACTCTTAGTGTGGACTGTTGTGTTTTAGCAGAACCTCTTGTTGGCTGCCAGTTTTCTCTATACAGAGGCATGAGAGGTCATTTTGGACTAGATTACAATTCAGTAGATTAAGTTCAGTGTTATTTGTACAGTGCTTTTATTTGTATAGTGTGGGCAACTCTTCAGAGGCGGGAGGTTGTCCTGTAAATGCCTCCAACGTTTACTACACTATCTGTGTAGACCTTTGTGTTTTTTCCTGTGTGTATGTGTGTGTGCTCTGACCGCAGGGGGGCACCGCCCTTGTACTGTGTGACTGTACCTGTCTGTATCGGTGTGTGTCAACTGCGGTCACGCCTTTGTCACACCTCTAATTCTGTTTGATTAGGCTACAAAGTCCAGAGTTATGAGCAGAGTAGTTTTTACCTGAGCCTCAGGGCATCTAAACTTTTGCTCATAATTAAAAAAAAAGTAAACTATTCTAGACAGTCAGTCAGTTCATGAATGGGTTTTGTAGCGCTTTGCTGTAAAGGGAAAAAGCCCTGTTATGCTTTAGCAATTGCAGTAATGTGCAAAAGTTTGGTCAAACGACGCTTTCTTGATTTTTTTTTTAGGTGAAAAAAGTTAACACATCCTCACTTCTGCACATTTTAATGCACTATTACTCTTTATTTTCGAAGTTTAACACACTGAGGAGAAATACAACATAAAATGTGGCCTGTGCAAAAGTTATGGCACATTTTGTGTTGTTTATTTAATTTTTCCCCAGTATGTTAAACTCAGCAAGTAATTGTGCACTAAATCTTGTTTATTGAAGTTTGTTTCCTGTAGAGCACGGGTTCTTAACCTTTTCACAGTGCGACTGTCTTTTAGCTTTAAAAATTATTGTGCGACTCTCTTTTTGCCTAAAACAAACCAAAGCTATTGAACTCCGTTGCACCTATTTCATTCCTAAATGCAGAAGCCACTGATAACCAGTATGAAGTATGACCACTGCAGTCTACCACCAAACGTTCAGGGTTATTGAGGTACACCTTACTTTTACTATTGTGCCTTAACATGGTCCAAGTGTCTTGCCCAAATCAGGCACGCGTTAAAAATAGTTCCATTTTCTTGGTTTTACATTCACACTGTCTAATGGTAAATTCATTTTATGGCAGCAACCTTCTAATGACTCAAAGAGATGAGTGTGAGTAACAAAAGCCTAAGTGTATAGTTTAAGTGTGAACCAAACTAAGACAAAAAGGCCCATGTCTTATTGACCTCACATTTTGGAAATGAGTTTGATGTAGTATTTAAGTAACACTTAAACTTTCAAAACATACTTTTCCCTCCCCACCCACGTATGGAAACCAAGCTGCAAAAAAACAGCCCATTTTGAATTCAATTCACTGTTTTCATGATGTAACAAAAGCCAGCACATTCACATATATTCACCTAGGAGTTTAGCCCAGCCCATTCACACTTAAGTTACATGAAGAGTTTCAGCCATGACTGCTTTTTGAATGAGGCACAATACAGGGCATCCAATCAGAACGTTCAGAACATCATATCATTTACATATATTGGTTTTAAAGGCACAGTAGCAAATGCAGCCTGGGATAAAGTGAGGTTGGAAAATGGTCATTTAAAAATAATAATGACTGCTTTTACTACATAAAACCACACAAATGTCAGATCCTCAGGGGGAAAATCATTTTATGGGCCCTTTAAAACAGTTGAATATACCATGTGTATATGATCCTATATAACATCCATAAGGTCCATAAAAGAAAAAGGGTAAGACAGTCTTGGGAATAAAACAATAACTTCTTTTATTTCGTGTCATCTGACTTGGCCAATGGTTAACTAAACTCCAGAAAGTCCCAAGTTTCTGTTTGACCTGCCTGCTTGAGCATCAGTGGCATATTTCAAATCGTTTTCCTGTAACCTTATTGGCTGTAGCCGGCGTGCTTGCTCGCCAGCTTGCCAATCAGCTGCCAGAACTCACTGAAAGTCAGTTCGCCATCATTGTTCTCGTCCAATGAGCCCATGAGATGGTCAATCACAGCTGGATCAGTGGCATTCTGCAGGCAATCAGACAAGATAGAGAGGCATTCATGTACAGTTTAAAACTGACCAACAAACAGTTACAACAGCAGCGTCATCGAGTGGCAGCTTGAGGTACTACACATTCTTTTCTGCTGACTTATTACATGGAGTTCCTGTAGGCCACAGAGCAAAAACTGAAGTGTCTTTCCTTCCTGATGTCCTCCACTGATCTACAAGAACTGCTGGAAAATGCAGAGTCCAACTCTGAGGCTTGTATGGCCTCACAAAAGCACTAATTAATCTGCACAAGCACCAATCTGTGAAACCTTTGTAGGGAATTTCCCTTTCCAAAGATCTGGTACGTATTATACTAATGACTAATAACTGTAGACAATAAGGAAACAATATCTCCACAAACACTAGCACTGAAACGAGCAATGTCTCAGACTTTTTTGTTGCAGCATTTGTTTTCATGTCAGCAAAAGATAACTACACAACACAGTACTAAAAACAACATGAGCACAGAATGTGAGGAGCATAGTGAGTAGGAGAGGAGCTTCTGACCTTGACAAGGTTTGGTAGCTGTGTCGCCACGAGGCTTTGGAATTCATCTTTGCTGAGGGTGTGTGAAGAGCCATCTTTGCCAGCATAAGCCTTGAACTGGCTGACCAGCACATTAATCGCAGACTCCATGTTGAAAGGGCCAGCGAATTTTGAATGGACTGGAAAGACAGCAAAGACAAGGTAGTCACTGTTAATCACGTTGTTAATGAAAAAAACGCATGTAAAGGCAGTTTTCTTTGCAGAATAAAGTGAATTGAAGCGTCCAAATCATTTAAAATGGAATTTTCCTTCCTTTTTTTTTAATATAGAGTTTGATGTAGTATGTAAACATTGTTAAATTGTCAAAAATGTACCATTAACTCTCCAATCCATACTGCAAAAAATGCCCCTTTTGAATTAACTGCTTTTGTGAAATCATGAAAACCAACACATTCCTCTGTCTACAGTTTAGCCCCGCCCACTCACGTGAAGTTATAAAGAGTGTTTCAGCTCGGAGTGCTGTTAGAATGAGGCGCAAAACAGGGCAGCCAATCAAAACAGAGGTAATTTACATTATCAGTCTTAAAAGCATAGTAACAAGTAAAAATTAATTTGGTGCAGTTTTGTTTTGGATACATAAACCCACACAAATGTGGACAAAAATAGAAAAGAACAATTCTCAGTATGGGCCCTTTAAATGTATTAAGAGTGAAATAGATGAGAAAGTCTATTTGCTAAATGTTAAAGAAAAATGTTTAAAAACACTTTACTGCAGTCGTGTGAAAAAGTTTGGGCACCCCATACTCAGACATAATCTGAGTACATTAACTACAAAGAACACATTTCAGCACATTTTAGTGCACAATTACTGTTCACCTGGTAGGTTTTAACATACTGGGCATAAAATGTGGCCTGTGTAAAATTTATGCCACATTTTCATTCCCCCAGTTTCGTAAAACTCAGAAAATAATAGACTAATTTCAGTTCTATGAATCAAGCAGAAAACAAGCAAGGAATCAGTCTTTTTAGAAATAGTAAATGTTACTGTACCTGAGTACTGTTGCGTTATACGAAGCATGAAGACGTGTTCCATCTCTTTACCACCTCCTCTTTTATTCTCTTCACTCTAAAGCACAGCTCAGCGGAAAACGAGATTTTTCCCAAGCCAAACCCCCTCCTCCCCTCAGCTCCCCCCGTCAGGATGCTCTTATCTGCATTATAAATCTTTCCACTGCACATAACGCAACACATAAACATGGAATCTGCAAACATATTGAAGTAAAACATGTTTTATAAGCAAATACTGTAAGTGAAACATGAGGCATTCTGATTGTAGTTGATGTTAATGGTAAATGCTGATGCAGTGTTATTATCTCAGCATCCAGTGTCTGAAGAAAGGCCTGTGGCGTGATTAGTCTGCAACTTTCAGCCAGGTTGTTGACAGTGTTGTCATAGTGTTGAGAGTTTAAACACTAGCCATCTATGAAATGCGATCTGATAAACCTGCTCCAACGGCAGGACTAAACAACCCCTTAACTTGGGAAACCTCAACTGGGGTCACTGTACTTTTCCTATTATACTGTACTTTATTAACTATACAGACTGCAAATAACCTACAATGTCTTAAACCCTACATTATCTTAAACACCACACTGGATAATGTTACTCTCAGTGAATTGCTGTATTAAGTAATTCAAAGTAATAATAGTGTATTCAAAGTAATAAATGGTGATGCATCACAATTTTTATTGACATTCAAAAATTATTCTCATTTTATTGTCTGAATCCGGTCCAGCCATTGGATTAAATTCATTTTTGACATGAAAGAAGCATTACATAGGATTTTGTTCTTGTAAATTCAACAATCAGACCCAAATTAACTTAGCTCAATTAAATTATTTTTTTATATTTACAAATTGGCCCAGAAAAAGCCTAACTCATATAGAAGTCTTCCATAGAAGTGTAAAAAGAGACTGAAAAACAAGAAATTCTGTCAGTGATTTAATACAATGGCTGTTTTCCTCAAGTAGGAAGGAAATATATATAATGCCCCAACAACATGGGCAACTTATTTGTTTTAAAGGGGAACTTATTTTCTGGGGTTTTTTTCCCAATTCTACCAAGTTATTTTATTCAATTATATTTATTTATTTATTTACAATTGGTAAAATGTAAACAGTCATTCAGTTTAAGGTGAAATGCTCTGTTCTAGAGAAACATTGCAGGGTCAGAACTGTTCACAGTCGTGGTGATAGGAACCTTGCTCTAAAAGTCATCTAAAACAGAAAATTATGACGTGATATGGTTATGATGGCACTGTTTTACATTTTTCTGCTTAATTTTATATATATATATATATATATATATATATATATATATATATATATATATATATATATATATATATATATATAGTAAAAACAAATGTAATTTTTTTTGTTAGTTCTGTTTTTTTTGTTTGTACATACATTTATGGTGGAAGGGTACATGCAGGGTGTAATAAGGTTAAATAGTGCCCAAAACACTATTAACACAATTTCACCATTATTAACATTACATATAGGAACATATGTAGGCTCACTGGTGGTTCTGTATAGTGAATAAAATAGGTATATTTATTTTGTAAATATCCCAACCCCTGATTCCTATCACCACCTCTGAAAAGACAGCCAAGTCAGTAAGTCGTGCCATTTCACACAAAACCTCTCTGAATGATGATGATTGAAATATGCAGAAATGTTGAAAAAAAATGGTGGAATTGCCTGTCAACAGCCATAATCCACTAGTTAATGCAGGCTTAGTTTTAAAATTAAATATAATAATATAACAATTTGACTACCAGAAATTCACCCAGACAAATAAAGGCACATTATCAAACATAAAAATTTTCCATAAAAAAAAAATCTTTTCAGATTACTTCAGTACCTTACAATTCACAAAGACTGCTATATGAATGTGAATTTGGATAAAATTGTGCACAGCAGTAGGTAGTTTAATTTTTTGATATGCAGACATTTAAACTGATTAAATTGGTACCATGTTCCCCTGCTAATAACCTTTTCCCAGACTTCAGCAAATTACACATATCAGCACTGTCAGTTTCCCTCATAAGTAAAAATAAAAAACATCTGAATGAAGTGGTCATCCCTTTACAGGGCAGGAACCTACTTGACACTCAACCGGTCAGCAATATTATGGTGAGTATAAACAGGCACAGGTTGTCCAAACCAGCAGGGACAAATACATACATTTCCAGGTTTTACTTCTTACATTATGGCCAAGGCCAAACTAAAAGCTATTCAATAGAGGGACCAAAGGATCCCTTCTTTTTTCAAAGATGAACTGATTTTAAGTTGACACTAAAAAGCAACAAAAAAGTAACTGATTCTTTACACAGCAAGCAAGGGGTTGGCACTGAAGAATAGAGGTAGCACAGGACAGGACACTCAACATACAGGTGGAACTTCACAAAAGGACAAGACTCCAGAAGGACACTCTTTGCACAAACTACAGTTAGAGTCCATATAGCCAGGGGAAATTGCCAATGTCTGGAGAGAACCTTTCTCAGTCGTCTCGTTTTGGTGTGGTATTATTTTTTCCTTCATATGGCTCATTTTCTATTCTAGCCTCGCTGCTTTATGCACCAAGGGCAGCAAATTTCCACAAGGCCTCCTTCTCAAACTGCTCCATTTCCTCCTCCAATGCTTCATTGTCGCTGCCATGCTGCTTGTCTTTCAAAACATCTGCCAGGTCCTCCAATATGTCTGCCACATCTTCAGCAAACTCGCTAAAGAGCATGCTGTCGTGGCTGAAGACACCACCACGGAAGAACTGGGCGACGAGACGACGCAGAGCTTCCAGATTCTCCTCAGCAACGCCTTCCAATTTGCTCAGATAGACTTCCAGGAGCGCCTGGAACTCTGACAGCTTGACTGGAGTGAGTCCCTCTGCATCAGCACAATCTGCCACACCATAGCAGCGTTCAGGAGGGTTCTGGTTCCTCCTGAGTTTCTCCTCTTGGTGTTTCCAGAACTCCACTGGCTCATGCTGTTGATGCTGCTTTTTATGATGATGATTATGCTGGTGGTCAGGCTTGGTCTGCCAAGGCCTCTCTTGCTTTCTTCTTTCTCGCTCCAGCTTCCTCTCATCCTTTTTATGGTCCCACTCTTCACGGTACTTCCTGAAGTGCTCTTTGTGTTTTGAGCCACCGTCATACTTGTCTTTGCCAAGCTTCCACTCTTTCCTTTTCTCAGTCTCCTCCATCTTCCACTGGTTTCTCTTCTTGTCGCCCCACTCCTTCTTCCCCTCTTTGTGCTCCTTGTGCTTCTTCTTCCATTCATCCCTCTTGCCCAAGTAGTCCACCTGTTCTGAGAGCCTCTGCTGCATCTCAACCAAACTCTCCCTCAAGCCCTTCTTGTGCCAGCCTGGTTTCTTTATCCCTTCCAGTCTCTTTCTGCTCTCCTCCAGTAGAGTTTTTTGTCTTTTGAGCTCCTGTTGCTTATCCCACCATCTATCAGGTCCTGTAGATCCTTGAATATCTCTAGGAACACCAGGTGAAGAAGAAATAGAGCTCTGGGATGTGTCAGAGGCCTCCTCAGCTAAAGAGACAAAAGTGATATAATTTAAGTTTTTAGAGCCAATGGCAATTATCATAAGACTAATTATTAATAAAATAGCACAACATTGCTTGTTTTCTTCATGTTACTGTAAACAGTCCTCAACAGGTGGCAACGGTGGGGTGTTTAGCAGTACGATGTTCTTTTATAATATGAACTTTGGCATGCCATGGATACAATGATAAGCCAAAAAACAGTAAACCGCAAAAAAACAGTGCTCCATCAGTACAGTGTTTACAAAGTGTGTACTGTTGAGCGTGCCATGTGCATGATGTATCACCAAGACATTCAGCTTTGCCGCGTTCACACAGATTATTATTTTACACTTTTTTACACTTTTCTGTCACAAACAGACATAACTGTCAACATAACTATTGGGCACAACAAAGAAGGATAAATTGTTTGTAAACAGTTTGTAAAAAACGTCCAGTGAAAAAGGGGTACATTTAATGTGATACACTTAATTTAGCAAGCCTTTGTGAGCTGCCTTTATTAGATACAGCGAACAGTGAAATATTATTTTAGACAGCAACTACAAGGTACAAACTGAATTGGGGATGAGTGAAGAGCTAAAAAAACAAACATGAGGACAGGCTATATGAGAGAACTAGTTCTATACAACGGGAGCTGGTTCTATACAAAGGAAACTGAAGAAGCTATTAGAGTAGGCAGACAGTTAACCACCCAGTGCGGGTGCACGACAACACACGTGTAGAGGAACCTGTGAACGAATGAACACTTAACAATCAGCATATAAAAAAATCTAACAACAAAATACTGAAAGAAAATACATTTATTCTAAATAGACATTTAAACTAGTTCTAAATAAAAGCAACCAATCACATCAACTGCAGGATGGAGCGGAAAAAAGTGTAGGGTGCAGGCAGGAGCAGGACAAGCAGTGTAGATGAAATTTTGCAGGATTGGGACTAAAAAACTGAAGGGATTATAAAAAAAAATGCTATAATAACAATGATAACAATAATAATAATAACAACCACAACGACAACAGTAGCAATAATAATATTAATAGTAATAATAATAGTAATTATTACTGCAGTGCTTTGTTATTGTTTCTATTGTAAATATTATTTTTTGTTATTCTGATTGTCAGAAATGGAAGGAAATGTCATGATATAAAACTGAGCTCATACTGCTCACCCCTAACAGGTGCTTTTTAAAATTCTTATTACTGCTGGTAAATCTAATCTAGCTAAATTATGGCTTATGGAGAAATCAGTCTTTCCCTATATGATGACAATAGGTAAGAATTAGAGGTCTACAAGGGCCTGAACCTGACCCATACCCGTGACTTTAAGACACAACCTGGACAAGTCCGACAGCTAAATGTGAAACCCGAGCCCGGTCTGAACCCGCTCACATTGCTGCTGAATGCCTGCATCCACAGTCAGTGTGTTGCTGAAGAGGTGGTGCGCCAGTCCTCATGCTATCATAGCTCAAAACACTATTGCAAGCTCCACACTGCATGTGACCAGTGTGCTTTTAATCTGATGTAATGACCAGGTCATAATGTTTCCACAACAAAGGTCATAATGTTTCCACAACGAAGATGTCCCTGACTCATTTGGAATTTTAAACAGTTCCCCTTTAGTAAGCTCTCTTTTAATTTTGTCCACAGCAAACAACAAGGAAGACCGTTAGGTAGGCAAACAAATCTGGAGCGTGATGTATGTGAAAAAGACCCGTAGACAGAATCTTTTTCAGTGAAAGGCCTGGTTAGACTGAACAGCTGTCACCAAAATGCTTCTCAGATTCCTTCTTGCACAAAGCTGACAAATGCCAGCATTTTATGTGCATACGAGTGTTCTATGTTTTGCATTTAGGCAAGAATTCAGTAGCTTTTCTATGCAATATTGATAAATGAGGGCCTGGTCTTCAAACACTGACGTGTCTTTCGTTATGACAAACTTTGCCAACTGATAGTAATTAACATCCCCCTGTATCTTCTTCAGTCTATTACATTCAAATCCTTACTGTCTAAAAATCAGGCATGCAAACATATGAGGCATGAAAAAGGTGACAAGCTCAGTAACCAACCAAACACTGTAAGAGGTCTGGAGAAATTTTTAATGTAATGTAATTTTTAATTCTTATGTGCACTCTGACAAGACAATACAAGAAAATCTAATTTATGTAAAGAAAAAAAAATCTGGCACACATCATCTTTTAAGACCCCTAATAAACAAGCATTATAAATGGAGGTCATTCCAAAACTCTGACTGCTCACAATTTGTGTTCTATCAATATAAAGACAATGTCTTCATACTGACAGAACACAATACTTACCTATAGTGGATCATTAGTCTCCATACTGCTCCATATCGGAGCACTGAGCTTTGATATATTTGTTGACAGTCCCTTAGCAGCTCAGCTGATACATAAGTCCATAGATATCTAAAACTGTGTTAATTTCAGGGGGAATAGCTGTCTTGTTTGCATACAATAATTTACACATTTTAACCTTTGTGCACCCTCTGTCTGAAAGCTACTGCAGAGGGAATTCAAAATACCTGAACATGAAGTTTTACTGCTACTCTACTCACTTTGAGCTGCTTGAACTGTAAGTTAATGCTCAGTTGTGTTGATTTAGCAAGTTAACATTACTGTAGCAAAAAGTAAAGTGTAGAATCTCACAAACAAACAAACAAAAATAAAAGAAAGGGGATTCTCCTTTCCTGAAAAGTCTCTTTGCTGGCTGCAGACCGCCCACAACAAAACAAAAACTCTCATTTATTATTGTTTATAATCATTTATTACTAAAAACAATGCCAAAGGGCATCATTTTGTTATATATGAAATATAGTCATATGCACAAATTTTGTGGCTATCACTTGAGATATATGGTATCATCTCTGCCTAGAAACTTATTTTCCTTTTATCGCTTACAGCCTCTTTGATTGAAGAGGTATGTTAATTGATAAAAAAAAAAACACACCAAGCAAAAGTCACTTGATTCTTCAAATATATCAAACAAGACAGAACGTTCTCAATTCAAAATGTGTTTCAAACAGCATCTTTGACAAACTGCTTAAATCTGACGATTTCAGAGAACTTCTGGCATGTAGCCAAACCACATCACATCACATCATGCCAAGTCACATCAAGGACACCTGTCCCCAACAAAAATAATGACACAGCTAAAACAAAGAAGGGTAATATGATCATTAAACTAGATAAGCTCTTATAAATTATTACAACACTTTCGAACATCACTCAAACAAAGGTACATGGGTGGGTCACAAGCTAGATTGATGATCAAAGTCTTATAAGTCATTTGGCTGCATTAGCCAAATGGTTGAAAGGGCTATAATGATATAGTGCCATAAACGTTGGAAAACAATTGGAGTGTACAGATATCTAAGGGACGCTACACCAGACATATAAAGCTTGAGGTCAGGGACTCAAATGATTGTTTCCATTAATGTCTAGAAATTGTCTGATATTGAGCAACAGGAATGCTGGCTTCAGAGGTTATGACCAACAAGGTGGGATGAAATTCAATGTTAAAAGCTCTTGAGAAGCTCACCTGCATTCTGTGCCCAGTAAGAAGATGTGAATATTGTGGATATTCATATTTTTCCATTCTAATGCACTTCCTGCTTGAACTGGAATTTGGTAACCGTTCTATACTAATTATCTAATTAATAAGTAATCTGAAGTTTGACCTATTAGGTGTAATAACATCTGTAACAATGAAAGTGTTGTTTGACAGCAACTTATTTCTGTGGAAAAATCCTTCAATAGACCAGTCACCCAGAAGCCATCAGTAAAACAATCCAATAAACTCATATTTCCATTTTTTTAATTTTTAATGTTGTTTTATTATTATTTTCCATTTTAATTATATAAAAAAATACAAGACTCACATTTAGCAAAAGAGTGGAAGACCCACCGTTACTATAATTCTGACACAAAAGAGAAGAAAAGCTTCATTAGCCCTAGCATTTTATGCTTATATTTCTGCTACTTATGTTTCTGTTTTTCCATCTACAGTCATAGGCCAAAATTTGAACACCCCTGGTCAAAGGACATGGTTTGTTGATTTTATGAATACAAGTTAACACATCCTCCACAGAGAACAAACATAAAAATAGCATTTTCTGCAAATAATAGTAGTAACAATTTCTATTTATTTGCTTGAGTTCAACATATTAGAAAAGTAAATACTGGTAAAAGTGCATTAAAATGTGCACTAGTGTGTTCTCTGTAGAGGGTGTATTAACTTAGTTTCCAAGCTTTTGCATACAACTGTATCTTACCTCCCCCTCATGTTTTTTTTATACTTTGTCAATTCAGAATTCATATACCGAAATAAAAAGGATGCAAGGGACTTAGTGAAGTAACTGATTAGGTGTAGAAAGGGTTACTGTTATATAATTAAGTTTTATACTTTGGAAAATTAAGTTTCAGCACATTTTGTAACTGCTAAACATGTTACTGTCTGATACAACTAAGATTGTTTCCCCTTTTGTAACCTATGACAGAAGGTCAGAAAATGAAAAGCAGACTTCACAACAGATCTATCTGGTTGCAGCAGGCCTATAAAACGTCCTGATTCTTCAAACCAAGCATTTAGACTACTCAGTTTTTTGCACATACAGTCCTATTTTTACAGCCCAGTAGTCAAAGTACATTTTACTGCAGTCAGACTTGTCAATAAAGGCTAGATTTTAAAGAGTGCAGATATAGATTTGTTTTGTTGCCCTATGTTACACCATTTCTTGTCCCATTCCATTTTTATACTTCTTTCTTCTTTTTCTTCTCAAAGAAGCCTCACTAAGGTAAAAGTACTGGTCACCTTGGTGACATGGCTAGTTAGATGCATGAAAAGTTTCAAACTACCCAAAACCTGCGTTCTGAAATAATAGAGACCTTTTTTTCAATGATTGGCTAAACAGGAAATGGGGAAGGGTAAGTTCAGGCAGGCTGTAAACACATAACAGGCTTTTGACAGCAGTCTGGACAGTCTTCAGCAGTCACTTCTACTTGTCACTACAGCTTAAAGATTTATGTGGTTAATGCCTATGTGGATGACCGTTAGAATGCTTACATGCACACTCAAACCAATATTAATTTGATTCTGACATCTAGAGCTTAGGATGTGATGTCATCACACTATGTATTATGGGTGATCCTCCATTTCATCAGAGTTAGTCAGTCATCTAGGCTGATCAATCAATAGTGGAATCTTCCTTTCCTATCTGCATTTCTTGCTTTTACCTGGTCTGTAGCCCTTAGACTCACTAAATACACTGGCAGAGCTGACTAGCATGGGAGTTTCATTCAATTCTGTGGATGCAGCTCTATGTACGTGGCACGTAAGAAGCATCGGAGTAGTAGAACAGATATCATCAAACTCAAGCTCATTTCAAACTCTAATCGAACAGATTTGATGTAATAAAACCTTTAACATCGGTTGGTGACTATCATGTATTCATCAGCAAACTAATGTGATTAACTGAGTGAAATACGCCAGTAACAGAGTGAAATCTTCCAGGAGCTGAGTGAAATCTTTTAGTGGTTGAGTGAAATATGCCAGTAGCTAAATGAAAAATCCCAGTGGCTGAGTGAAACATGCCAGTGGCTGAGTGAAATATGCCAGTAACCAAGCAAAATCTTCCAGTGGCTGAGTGAAATGTCAGTAACACCATCAAACTCATGCTCATTTCATATGCTATACATATAGATGTAATGGAATAAAACTTTCCACATCAGTCTGTGACTTTATCATGTTTTTCTTCAGCTGACTAACTCTTCACAAGCTTGCTGTTTTCCAGCTAAAGGGTATAAGGTGAACCAATATGATTAGAGTAGTAACTTTAGCTGAGGTGAATCAACACTTAATGAATCTGTTTATCTTAAAGACTTCAGGGCGAATTTTTGATGAAAACTTCAAGCCACAACGGTGAGTGAAATATGTTAGTATCAGAGTAAAATATGCTAGTAACTGAGTGAAATCTGCCAGTGGCTGAGTGAAATAGGATAGTAATGAGTGAAATATTGTAGTGTTGGGGTGAAACATGCCAGTAACAGAATTAAATACACCATTAACAGGGTGAAATATGCCTGTGGCTGTGTGAAAAATATCAGTAAATGAGTGAAATATTTCAGTAACATAGTGAAATATGCCTGTGGCTGTGTGAAAAATATCAGTAAATGAGTGAAATATTTCAGTAACATAGTGAAATATGCCAGTGGCTGTGTGAAAAATATCAGTAAATGAGTGAAATATTTCAGTAACAGAATGAAATATTGCCAGTAGCTATATGAAATGTCAGTAAATGAGTGAAATATGCCAGTGGCTGAGAGAAATATGCCTTTAACAGACTCAAATCTTCCAGTGGCTGAGTGAAATATACCCCCCCCCATTTAGATTACCTCTAAACCTGACAAATCTGAAAAAACACAATAAAACTTCAAAAAATCTTTTAGCTCCCACAGTGTATGTGAATATTTGTGCTATGTAAACAAAGAACAAATCCTGCCAATATGCCAGAACTATCCCATTATGCAGCGCGACATGATATTGATCCCCTAGACCTACTGCAATTGTGTAATACATTTATATCATGATAGATGGCACGAGATACAAATTGCTAAAACATGTTAAAACAAACTTGCTAAAATTGCTAAAGCTAATCGCTAAAGCAAAGTTGATCGCTAAGACTCCAAAAGAAAAAAGGCAATTCTTGGCCTATTGTACCCATACTATTATTTTCAAACAGCTCAGACAAAAAGAGAGGAAAAAATTCAAGAACATTACGTTTTTATGCTCACAATGGTAATTCATACCTGTGAGTTGGGTGAGCTCACTGATCCTGGCTTTAAGTGCCTCTATTTCTTCTTTTAGAGCAGGCAATGTAGATAGTTCTTCTTTCATTTTAGCATTTTCTTTGTCAGTAATTCCCTTATCTGCAGCTATCTTCAGTGCCTTGACCAATTCTTCCTTTTGGGACTGGGAAAAAGATTGCACAGTCTACTTTTAATGGTAGGCTACCAGTAACATCCATGTATGACACATTCAGAAGTAACACAATATATAAGCACGATAAAAGCCTAGAGCATGGTACAAACTGAAAGATAAAGTGTGATGCTTAAAGGAATGGTCAAAAATCAATTTTAAACAACCTGCGACTAACCGCAGATGTAGCTCATGGGCCAAGACATGTTTGAGATTCAAATTTTGCTTCTTTAATTAAAAACTAGAGCAATGAGTCTAACATGGCTACCAAACACTAGAACTCAGTAGTTACCTAAATAACCAAAATTGTTTCTGTAAAAATGCATTACCAAAATTCCCTTTAACCTGCTCAAGCATTCATGTCTTCATTAGGGTTGCACAGACTTGTCAACGTAATTTACAGCACAATATGACCTACTGTGACCTATGAAAATTAACAAAACTGTGGGCAGCCACTTTAGACAAAAGGGTCTGTACTTACAAACCATCACAGGAGTAGTAGTGCTGATCTAGGGTCAGCATTTGTGACAATGACCACCAAAAATACAGAGGAATGTGATCCAAATCAGTCTTGCTTTTTGAATGCCAGCCCTGGTGTCGTCTGAAATGGCTGCCAGTAGCAGTGAAGTTTTGTTCATTTCTCTAGTTCTTGGTAATATAGAGCACATATAGTCATAATGTGCTCTAAAAACATCGGCAGGTCTGCACAACCTTAAGGAAGACCAGGTTAGAGCAGATTGAGAAGAGTTTTGGGGATGTATTTTTACAGGAACAATTTGACTGAGTTCTGGTTTTTGTTAGTAACATTAGCCTCATGGCTCCAGTTCTAAAGTAAAAAAGCAAAATCTGAAGCAAAATCTGTCGTGGCTCACTGAGTATATCTGGGGTAAGTGAAAAATTGGGTGAATTAGATTTTAGGGATAGACTATCCCTTTAATACCATATACCTCATTTCATTTACAGACTAGGTCTAGAGGTGCCTAATGAAGTATTCACTAGAGAGAAAGCCTTAAAAAGAACTCTGAAACAGTCCAACGACTGAATCTATATAATGCCATTGCCAGCAAGTATATGTATAGGCCAGAGTTTGTCTATCATCATATCTTCAGCAGAGATAAAACTTGCTGAGCTATAGTTGTTCACTGCTAAATCCTCTTTCACACTTCTTTCTACACAGTTCCTAAGACATAAGTGGCAGGGATGATAAGAATGGGCAACATTTTGTTTGGCCAAATTTAAGGGGAAAAAAGACCAGATAAGAAGTGAGCATAAAATAAAAGCGAACCGTTATGATACCCTCACCTGTATTTGTGCCTCCAGTATGGAAATCTGTTTGTTTTCTTGAGCAAGTTTCTCAAGAAGTTCCTAGAGTAGAAGAGATTTAGATAAATGATTAGATAAAACTGCAAGTTTTTTTGTCCACACATTGTTCTATGTGATTCCAGTATAAGCATGAATGTCCAAATTACAATGTTTTAAGGTAATGCTAATGTGGTAATATATAAAGATAATATATGTATAAAGCAGCCAACCTGGTCACTTAGCTCAGAGCCATCAAAATCTTCATAGGGAAGATAAACAAAGAGAAAGAGAGACCGAAAGAGAGAGAAATAAAGAAGAAATCAGTGGAAGCACAAACACAAAATTCAACTGTGCACTCTCACATGCTGCAGGGATGCATTTAAAAACAAAAACTGCCACAGCATTTCAGTGCAACTCTATTTCCATTTACACAGTGTAGCATATACCTGAAAAACAGACACTCTCCAAGATTGAAATCTCTATTAACCATGCAGTTTAAAAACTGTTCTGAAATGTTGGTGAAATAACAACTTCAGTTATGTATATGGTTAAAATGGCACTAGAAGTGAATTCATAAGTACACAATGCACTTTCTCAGTGACCGTCTACTACTGTTGCTATTAAGTTACAGTTATTTACAGGTTACAGGTTATGAAGAACGTGAATGCAAGGAGTGACACGCTGCTAAATGCAAGGGCAAAGCTGTGAGTAGTGCGTTCTAGGTGGAGTTAGCACACGTGTTGGTAGAAGTAGCCCTCAGCCTGGACTCTAGGACCAATCTGCTATTTTCCTTCAGCATAGTTAGTAGCAGCAAATGTAATGGGAATATGGTCCTGAATCAGCACCTGAGGTAGACTCCTACCTATAGGCAATACACAAGCTTATACTGCCCTCTAGCAGCCCCACTTCTGTACCTACCACCGGCCTGGTCAACCATGATACCTACAGACACAACACAACTTAATACCACAACTGAAGCTGGAAGTGAGCTGAAAATGAAGGAATGAAGTCTGGAAGTTGACCCTTTGCTAAACAACCTCTTTTAAATACCAACTTCCAATCATATTGTAGCAGCCCGGCCACTTCGGAAAAGCTTTTAGAATTTTACAATTCATCACCATATTGAGTACATATAAATGATTAAATTCTTATTTTCCTTTCAAGTTAGTATTTAGTCACAAAACACAGTGTAATGTTTTTTAAAAAGGACATTTTTTAAAAACTGGGTTTAAAAACCTCTACCTTCTTTATTTATATATTCTTTTGTGCTTTAAGGCTACAATACATAACATTGTGGTCTCTCAGCAGCCTGACAGTGCTAAAGCAGGGGTTCCCAAACTTTTGTCTTGGGGGGCCAAAGTGCAATGTTTATGTTCAAAACAAAGACAAAACAATATATAAATAAAAACTGTAGGAAATTTTCAAATCAAGTTTTTAAAAATAAAAACTTTTCCTGCCTTTTCCTTCCTGAAACTGGATGCATTGTTTTGACATTTCTCCATTTAGTGCACTAATATTATATGCCTTTCACTTTTTAATGACCTAGTGCCCTGCTCCTCACGTAAACTAATTCAGTTAGCTAGATTACTTTGATTTAAGATTAAGAGTTGATTCGTAAATGCTAAAGCTACAAATAAGATGCACATATGTAGTTTATGAAATGCAATCTGTGAGACTGCAAAGTGCAGTGATATTTATAGAAGTATGCACCTGTAATATTTCTCTGTTAGCCACATAAGCCTTTGTACACTGTCTGAAAAGTACAAATGGATTTGTCTTCTTTTAGCTTATGTAATCACCTGACTGAGTCCTGATTTTGTTAAATATTCTCCTGGTGAGTAATCTAGACATTTGGACTCATGGGTAAATCCACTAGCTGAGATCAAGTTAACATACACCTTAAGTTAAACTCAGTAATGTTGTTGTTCTGAAGTTAAATCCAAAATGCTTGCTAATCCCAACATCTGGATTTGTGGCAAACCCGTGTTCCCTGTGGCTCTAGCTTTTATTAGAGTTTGTGTGGAAGCACAGTTTTTTTAATTAGTCCAGTGTGTTTAGCAGGAATTTTCTAACCGCAGCACATATTTTTACACTGTTATGTTTGACGTAGCAACAGTAACCCAAGGCCTTCAACGAGAACATACACTAAATTAGGGCTGGGCAATAAGACAATATATATCATTATCGTGATAAATTATGTCACAATACAGTATGCTTTTCTGAGCATATTGTGCATATCATCAGTACTTGCAGAACACTAACCAACTGTATGTTGCATTATAAAGAGAGCAAAATTAGTCTTGTTCAACTGGATTTAGTGCAACACAGTATGCCAAATAATGGAAAAAAAAAAAATCACTGTATTCACAGTTTTTGATAGTATTTCTTACAGCACGACTGGGCCTCTGTTTCAACTGATCTGATGTTTGAAAAAAATAAATATTGTGACATATTGTGTATTGTGAACATTTCTTGAAGTATCGCAGTTTTACACCTTTGCTATATCGCCCACATCTACACTAAATGTTCAAAAGGTATTGGATGGTGCTCCATCACTCTAGAGAACGCAGTTCCACTGCTTCACAGCCTAATCCTGTAGGGCTTTATAGCCCTCTAGTTGATGCTTGGCATTGGGCAACTTAACCTTATGCTCATGTGTGGCTGCTCCAGAGTGTCCTATTCTATTATCAATGCTTTTCTATGAAGATTGTACTAAGATACACAGCCATGGAGAAAGTACACCCTCCTTCAATTCTATGTTTTTATTTATCAGGGCATAAATAGCAATTGTGTGGTCCTCACCAACCTGTATAATAAATAACCTCAGGTGACAACAATAAAACACACATTTCAATGTGCACCTTAAAGTAGCTGAATTCACTAATTCCACATACTTTTGGGCATACAGTGTATTAAGACTAGAAGCCATTTAGCAGATTGTGAAGTACAGAAAACTTTGTGACAAACTGAGGGCAACACTACTGCACAACTCACCCGTGAAGAAAAGGGAGCCAAGACACAACAATGCCAGAGCTCCTATGATGAGATGGTTCAGCGAGAAGCCTGATTTCTCTTCTTTTCTCTCCGGCATCCTGAACTCCTCTTCTTCCTCGTCTTCCTCGTCTGAGCTCTGTCTTTTCACCTCAGTGTGCTGCACATGTCGTAGCCGCAGACCATCACCCTCTTCCGGACGGTCCATTGAGACTTCTGCACACAGTGTTTCTGGACATAGGACAGTATGGAGTTGAAAAAAGCAATGGACAAAGAGAGAGGTATCAAAGACAAGGAACATGTTCCTGGGCTTTGCTTTCATTTCATACTGTACCTGGCTCCCTCACCACATCTGCCGATTCATCTGGAGGCTCAGGTTCTTCTCTCTGTATTGCGGGCGCCTCCTCTTCCAAGATAGACGTAGCAACAGTTTCTGGGTTAAGGCCCACAACTAGAGGACCTTCTGATGCAGAGCTAAAATAAGTTTCAGAGAGCAGACTTGGAGATGACCTTTCAGGGGTGGGGTTTTCCTCAGCATGAATATCTACCACAGGGATTGCAGAGGTATGACTAATAGAGATGGGGCTTATGTCTGCAGTAACATCAGGAAGAGGAGAATCAGGAGTCTTTGGGGAGAAGCTTATTTCTGTTGGTTCAGGGGCAGGGGTCACCTCAGCTTTGGGTTCAGGGGAAGGGGTCACCTCAGCTTTGGGTTCAGGGGCAGGGCTCACCTCAGCTGTAGGTTCAGGGGCAGGGCTCACCTCAGCTGTAGGTTCAGGGGCAGGGCTCACCTCAACTGTAGGTTCAGGGGCAGCGCTCACCTCAGCTATCGGTTCAGGGGCAGGGGTCACCTTAGCTGTAGGTTCAAGGATAGGGCTTGCATCAACTATAGACTCAGGGGCAGGGCTTTCTTTGGGAGGAATTACAAATGTGGGCTGAACATCAGGAAAGGGCTCTTCCTCAAGTGCAGGTTCCTCTGAAAGAAAGAGGGAGGACTCTGTAGCTATGCTAAAGGGAACTGCACCAAGAAGGTCATTGTCAGGAGGAGAGCTAGTTATGGTATCATGAATGACAGGGGCACAAATCTCAGGGTCAGCTTCATCTGCTGCAATGCTAGAAGCTGTGACCTCATCAAAGAATTCTGGGGATGTTTCCTGGCAAACCTGTAAATGAGACAACATTTCAGAGTCATGTTTTATGAAGCTCAGTCATCTTTTGGACAGATTAGCAGTTAGAAAGCCTGTCTTTTCTTAAATGTATTCAGTCCTAAAACTTTGTGTTACGCATAATACTGTAGTGCAGTACTGTTTTGACAGAATTTGGTTTGCAACCGTTCGGAAGCCTTGTGGTGCCACCCAATCCTGATTGGAAAAAAATCCAAAAATCTACCTTAAGGCAGTTATAGCTTTTTAAAAGATCCTATGACCTTCAAGATACAGAGCCGGAAGGGGGTTTTCCTAGTCTTTAAATCAGAAAATCTTACTCTAGAGATAACTGCTGCACTACTTTAGGAGATGAGCAAGAATGTTTACAACGGATGTAGTGATGGTTGTTTTTTTTTTCATTTTGTCCCCATAAGGTAAAAAGAAAAATTCCTGGCACATATTGTCTTTCTTTACACCAGATACAGGCTTCCTGTCAGCATCAGATCTGCCTATTAAACAACACAAGTGGCCAGCTCTGCCTATTAAGGGCCCCACACCGACCAGGAGGCCCCCTAACGACCTCAGGTTACTGTACTTATTTTGTTGGTGATGAAGCATGTGCCCCATTGCTCCTAAATGACAAATAATTTAACACAAGCAAGAGCCCCAAAAGACGGAAAAAGAAATTCTATTACCTAAATTTGTAGCGAGTAAAACATTTATACCGATAAAAGCAACACTGTCGAAACTGCCACATACAACATAAGTTTAAAGTTAGCAGGGTAAGCAAGAAATACTGCATGGACAGACAGACCACTTGATCCAGAATGCTGAGAAGTATGTTATCTGTAATTTGAACTGTAACTCATTAGAACCCCAAACAAGCACTCCATCATCAGTAAAACACAAATTAGCCAGTTATAAATATACATGATTTAGACAGTTTGTGGTAGTCATTGTTATTAGTTAGCCTTTAATTTCGCAGTAAAACTGCTAGTAAGATGGGGAGGGTAAAAAAAAATCCTGCTTAGAGCCACCCCTGCTTCCTGTGTTGAAAATGTCTTTGTTTTGCATTTGCTGCTTTTTGTAAATATAAAGAAATTCAGTTTTGAGTCCCAATGTGAACTCAATCCTATAGTGTACAAATAACTTTGATCAATTAAAGAAGAGGCTAACCAGCATTGAGCAATTCATTCTTCAAGTTATTGCCATATCAGATCAAACAGAGATGTGATCATTCAATCAAAAAGAGAAAAAAAGAGATTTCAAATGAAGCAGTGAAACTTTAGATGGTTAACATCAGTGGTGATAAGTGAATGTCAACCACTTATTACTACTTTCCTTAAACCCTCGCTCTTGGTCCCTGTTTATGTTATGACCCTATTTAAAATGTCTGAACTTCATAGATCATGAAACATAAGGCTCTAACCTGCTGGCCCTCTTCTGACAAAATGGTCTCCAACGGGGCTTCACTCTCACTTTGCTTCACCTCCAAAGAGCCTCCTGCAGAAAACAGAGATGTAAAGCTATTATATGCATATAAAGGGCAAAACTCTAATGGAGTTTTCCTATCACTAAATTCAACCCCAGTTGATAAGGTGATCTAAGTGGACATGTTTGGACTGAAAAGATAACCTGCAACTTCCTCTGAAAGGCTTGGCACGTCACCAATACTCTCCGTTCCATCATCCACTGGTCCAGCAGTGTCAAAGGCAGCCTCCTGGAATAAATAAACCCACTTTGAGAAACAACAAGGTAACACTTCCTATTGCATATTCCTGTTCCCGCTACCTAAGTATTGTTCTTTATGTAAGTAATAGTGTAGGGCTTAATGACACATGCATGTAATTCACACTGTTTATTATTAACATTGTGTTTGTAATTAACATTATACTGTTATAAGCCTCAGAGATCCATAAAGTTAGGGTTTCTACAACCCCATTTCCAAAAAAGTTGGGATGCAATACAGAATGTAAATGAAAACAGAATGCAGTCATATGCACATCATTTAAACCATATTTTTAAAGGAAAATACTACAAAGACAACATATCAAATGTTGAAACTGAGAAACTTTATTTTATTTTTTTAAATATATGCCCATTTTGAATTTGATGCCAACAACACATTTTTACTAAAGAATCACCAGCAATGCAGGAAGGAACACTTAATAAAATTGAAAAAGCTACTGACAGGTGGAAGGAGAAATAATGATATCATGATACTGATTCCAGTGGCTGATACCTTGACTAGCTGGTGGAAGTGTTGGTTGTAAGATCATAAAAACAGTGAAACACTGCGTCTGATGGTTGTTGAAACAGCTACTGGACAAAGGGCTTAGTAATTCTCTTGTAAAGGTCTGAACTGATTGAATGTGTGACCTTTGACTGGGTTTATGTAACCATTCTGCATCACAAAATGCACACAGCAGTGCAGCTCTGAGTGTTCTGATGTAGCTGCATCATCCAGAACCAAACAGCATGTAACTGTGTAAATACGTGCACTAAAAATTACTTTTCCCATCTTACACTGACACCAACTGATCAAAGAGTGAACTGCACATTATCAAGATGAATAATTGCACAATATATGTCAAGAATACATTATAAAAAAGCACCCCAGTATTTATAATGTAGTTTCTCAGTTTATACATAGGCTTAAAGTTCCAAGGTGACAGACAGACATTAAAGTTCTTTTTAGCTTTTTAGTGTCAAATTTGCATTTTAAAAATAGAAACATATAAACTTGATTTGATACATAGTTTGTTAACAATGTGGTGACATTCCCATGTGCTTAGATTGCAATAAATAAAATACTTTATGATATTTGCTTGGCTTATGTAGCCAACCCCAAATGCAGTCTTAATGCTCTGGACTGTTGGTCAGCAACACAGATTTATATATGACAAAAAGTTGCAGGATAATCTGAGCTTTTCCATGAAGCTTGTGTAAGATGCAGTTTTTTTTTATTATTGTTGTTGTCTTCCAGTTTAGTCATAGTAATAGGGCTATACAGTTGTGTAATTTGTGTTGTGTAATACATTTACAGTTGTGTAATAAGTTATGTAAAGAAGTAACTACACCCTATTAAAAATGTAGACTTTTTCAGCAAATTTGGATATAGATATCCTGTCTTCTTTCAAACAATGTTGATAGATAAAGGTGACATAATTCAACAAGTGACACCTAAAATTAACATTTTTGCCATCTTTATATAACAGAAATAAACAGAAATTCAATTTCCTTATGTGGAAAAAGAAAGCACACCCCTAGGTGCTAATGATTGGATACTGGAACACCATTAGAGGATATCTTGGGAGAACTTGTCTTAATTAAACCTTAGATATCTGGTCTAGTTTGCTCTTTGTCATTGGAGTGTGTGGTACCATACGCCTAGATCAAAAGAGCTCCCTGAGGCCTTCAAAAAGAAGTTTGTAGATGCCTATAAGTCTTTAAGAAGCGTTTCCAAAATGTTAGAACTCAATCCTTCCACTGTCTAGAAGATCATCTACAAGCAGAGACCATTGCCAACTTGTCCAGGCCAGGCCACACCAGCAAAGTTAATCCAAGAGCAGACCATAAGATGCTGAAAGAGGTCTATAAGAACCCCAAAAATGTATCACTAGATCTGTGAGTAGCTCTTGCCACTGTGGATTTTATAATACATGCATCTACCATTAGAATGATACTGCACATATTTGACCTACAAGGGAGGTGTGCCAGGATGAAGCATTTGCTGTCTTAAAATAATCATCAGGGCAAGACTAAAGTCTACTAATTAAGATCTCAGCCAGGGCAAGGACTTCTGAAACAATATGCAGTGGAACAATGGACAGGCGAGTAAAAGATAGAGCTGTCTGGCCACAGTACCAGAAGCCATGTTTGGTGAAAACCAAAGACTGTGTTTGAACCTTGTACCAACCATAAAGCATGATGGTGGAAATGTTATGGTTTGGGACTGCTTTGCTGCCTCAGGGTCTGGCCAACTTGCAATCACAGAATCAACTATGAATTCTTTTTTATACCAGAGAGTGCTTGAGGAGAATGTGAGCCCATCAGCCACAGATTTTAAGATGAAGAAGTAGATCTTCCCACAGAATAAAGATCCCAAATATACAAATAAATCCACCAAGGAATGGCTCAAGAGGATGACAAATTTCATGGGGTGTACTTACTTTTGCACACGACTGTATGTACCAGTAATAAAAGCATCAGTAAACCTGAAATTAAACCTGATACAATTATGGCTGAGATGCGTTACATACTGTATTTATGTACCTCAGTACTTCCCACTACACATCCTTTATATTTCTTATAGACTGTGTGGGTACTGTCTACTTTATGTCATTTTTATATATTTATTTTGTGGGACTTAATTTTATGTTGGCACATGCACCAAGAGAAAATCTTAGTACATGTGGCAAATAAATATTTTTATTCTGATATAACTCATTTATCATCAGAACCTTCAGTTAAGGAAGATAAATGTCAGTAGTAACCTCCTTTAAAAGAAGTACATTCCCATCACTCGCTATTTTCAAACTACCAATAAGAATTATTCAAAAACAATAAGTATTAAGAGAGAAAACTATGCTTTCAGGTCCATGCAATTACCCAACTACATAGGCCCAACTTCAAGTCACTGTCTTAAAAGTGTCACGATCTACCGTGTGATTGTGTGTGCCACATCATTCCCTACTGTTTACCTCAGGAGAGAGGAGAGTCCAGCTGTTACTGGAAGACCCACTACTGCCGGTGCTGTTATCAGACATCACTGTCTTGTTGCTCAGCACCTGCAAAATATAAAGGCATGTTAATTGTATTATCTTAATGGAGCAAGTCTCTCCAAGTTCCATCAATGTCATAAAAGGAAAGCAGTGAGAAACAAACAACACATGCATGTTTGTGAAGGTTTTCATCATCTACACTCCCATGCAAAAAAATCGGCCAAGCCCAAAATGGCAAAACATTAAGCTTTTAATGGTCTTAACAGCAAAACATTCACCAAATAGATAAAGTACTACTCAGCACTGATGGCTTCAAACAGCTGACAACATTGCAGAGCCAGAGTGTGTTTAATATGAAACCAAATGTTCTGGACAGGGTTTAAATAAGGACTCTGATCAGGCTAAAACCATCAGTGAAAACACTTTTGCACATCACATGAGAGTGTAAGTAATTTAAACGGGAAACTGCACTGATTTTTCAAACTTTCTGCATAATTACATGGTTGAGATGTAAACAAAGTCATTGAAAATGGTTTAAAGCGAAAAGCTCCATTCTGGAGAAATTTGCTGAGTCAGAATTGTTCACAGTGGTGGTGATAGGAACCAGATGTCCGCCGAGTTGAATGCCTCTGAATGTGCCTTCACAGAAAGTTACTACATGAACTGTTTAGATATGATATATGCAGATACACACAGGGTATTTTAAAGTTGTCCCCAAAGAAAACTCATTTTTTCAAATTTTCCACAATTTTACCATTAACATTACATATAAAACCTCAGAAGACGCGTGCAGATTCAAAGGTGGTTTTGGACAGTAAATAAAATGGCTAAATATATTTTTTGTACAGAAATGAGGGTCAGTGAGTTTTTCTACAATGAACCATTTCACATCAAACCACTCTGACTCTGTTTACATCACCAGGACAGAATTAATCAGAAGACTGAACCAGGGGTATAATCTTAAAGAAATATCCCCACTCATCTAGCAGACCTATGGAAAGATGGATGGATGGGTGGACGGACAGACAGATTGAAACCTTGATTTCTCGTCGTAGGCTATCCTAACAGCACTCTGAGGCACACAGTTAGCCAAAACACTGAGTGGGTCGTTTATCTTATGAAAAAACGTACAGCCTTCAGAGCCTGTGCTGAAGGCTAAACTGGGGTGTAACTTTCAGTCAAAACACCGAAAGGGGCGTTTATTTTGTATAACAAAATATGGGCCCATAACCTTCGGAAGCCATTCAGAAAATAAAGGAAAAGGGGGCGTGTGTGAATTTACATGTTGTTCGTCGAGAAGAGCTTCGAGCGCCATGAGAGCAACTGGCTCTTACGTAACACACACACACATACTCACAGAGAGCCTGAAGGCTGTTCAAAGATTACACAGACAGATGAATAGCAGGTTAAACCCATAAACACAGAACCTCCCTTGAACCGTTAATGTTAGCTAGCTAGGTGAACTCCGCCTGTTTCTCTCTTAGGCCAACCTCAGATATGCCCCAAAATGGAAAGACTGCAGCGAGTTAACGTTAGCTAGCTAAATATTCAGCACGCTTGTCCAATAACGTCAGTAAACCTGACTGACTGCAGAAGACTAACACACTGTGGTTTTGTTTTGGTGGGGCCGGTTTAGCTAACGTTAGTTTAGCTAGCTACGGCTGTTGTGATAAAACTGCTAACGTTAACGTTATATGGCGATGCTCTTTAACGTTAACGATACATAGCTATTTTCCCCACAAACGCAAGCTGGCTGACGGACCACCCCAACCCGAACCAGCAGACACCGACACGACAGACAAAATACGATGCTTAAGTTGGCTTCTTATTTACCAGTTTTTTGTTCGAATTTTCCGTTCCACCTTAAATGGAGGGGCAGTTGGACTCTGGCGCCCGAGGCCAGACTGTAACTGCCGCACTGTTTAAGGTGGAACGGAAAATTCGAACAAGAAGCCAATCTCAGCCTCGTTGACAAAACGAAGCCTCCCTGTTTACAGTGTGGAGAGCCCGGCCTCACAACCGCAATCCAAACTGATTTAAGCCGTCATACCGCGTGTGTAAAACCACAATATCAGCAAATCCTCTTCGTCTCGTTTATGAAATCCTGAATTCCGTGATGCGCCCGTCTCCCCTAAACTTCTTAACTTTGGGAAAGCCAAGTTGCGTTCCGCGTGGGTACGCTCTCACTCTCCTTTCCAATGGGATGAGGACGTGATCCGCTCTGTCCCGCCCTCAAACGCCAAACAGCCAATCAGGACGTTAGTGTCGTGTCCACCGAACAGCTCGCCTCCACCGTGATTGACAGCTCCAGGTGACAGCGGCGGTCTGTGCAGCTCTTGTCTTATCACTGACCTGAGAGAAACCTAAGTACAGTGAAATCCCAACACGCATGTCGCCTATATATAGTGAGAGGCAGAGACGTTCTCCAGCAGTTTACTGACACGTTTGCTTATCCAGGATTAAATTTGTGGGGTTTCCCCAGTGGACTGTCCCTACCCATTAACATTGTCCTATTGCATCATTGTCCTTTCTCATACAGTAGCCCAGTGTAGATAAACAGCACTGTCTGTACTGTAACAGACAGAATTGTGCCTGTGCCTAAAGATAACTGATCAAAATGAGTGATGGTGCTGGAGCTGAGAGGTTCAGGCATTTATAGGCCAGTTTGCTGGCATCACTTTGTAGTCTGTATGTTCCTCTCAGTACATTACTCGCATACTGAAAGAAACAGTCAAAAGAAATGTGAAAGAACAGCACAACTCATATTCAAGACATAACAAGCATCGACAATCTATGGACGCCAGTGTGTTACATTTGCCAAGACTGTAAATTCAGCAGCTTTCCCTTTAAAAGACACTAGCAGTGCAGTCTATTCATTAAACAGCCTAGCACAAGTATGTACCAGCACTATGTTCATGATAACAACTGTTCAATGACCAAGATGCTAAAACACCAGCCTCAGCACAGTGGCTCAGTGACTTCGCTGACCACAGCGACTACCAGTGATGACAGTAACAGACTGACTCTGAAAGACTTGAAACAGACACCCTCCGCCAGGCTTTCAGCCAGTCACATACTGTAGCCTGCATGAAGATACACTCACTGAGGTTTTTTTTAGGGTACACCTACCTTTTGTCAACTCCACTGTCATATAGGTGCTCTTTGTAGTTCTACAATTACAGATTGTAGTCCATCTGTTTCTTTGCAAAATTTGTTATCCCACCTTTACCTCGTTCACCAGTAAGGACCCCCGCAGGACCACCACGGGGCATTATTTGTTTAAAAACTCCAGCAGCACTGCCTTGTCTGATCCACTCGCGCCAGCACAACACTCACTAACACACCACCACCACGTCAGTGTTACTGCAGTGCTAAGAATGATCCATCACTCAATAATACCTGCTCTGTGGTGGTCCTGTGGGGGTCTTGAGTATTGACAAATGGGGTAAAGGTGGGATAAAAAATTATGCAGAGAAACAGATGGACTACAGTCTGTAATTGTAAAACTACAAAGTGCATCTGCTGTGATTTTCAATGAGAGTACATACAAAATAGGTGTGCCAAATAAAGTGCTCACTGAGTGTAAGCAGAGACTTTCTAACATAACATGATAGAAGCATGTTTGGCTTTGTTTAGAAAAAAAAACACTTTCTGAGATATTTGGCCTCCAAGATCAATTATCAGATTAATTAAAGTCATTTATGTTTTTTTATTCTTTATTTATCCAATGAGTTCCCTGAACAAGATCCATTTTTCAAGGGAGCCATGGCCAATATAACCATTTAACTCCACATATGGAGGCAAACGTTTCAAATGAAATAATATAACCCACAAGCAAAATGTTATTAAAATGTCCAAAGTATGTTGCAAATACAAATAATGACAGTTAAATCAAACTTTTTCAAAAATATTGCTACTAATTTTTACTCATTCACAAACGTATTACTGAATTTGCCAATTTTTGCTTTCATTTGTCTATTTACTGATTTTGCTGATGTATTGTTTGCTCCTGAAATCTTTCTTTAGTTTCTGATTTTTGGCACATTCCTACAGTGGCCTTAGAAGAGGATATTCACTCACACTCTCTATTGGTCAACTGATTTGAAGTGAGAGATCTTCTGAATGAAGCACTCCAACATGGCAGAACACGTACTGAGTGCTGTCATGGGTGCTGCGCTGTACTGGCGTCAGTGCCGACCCTGCCTATTAAGCAACATAAATGGCTACTTAGGGCTTCCGAGCCACCAGGGGGCCCCCAAACAACATCTGGTTACCATATTATTATCTTGTCTTGTGGGTAGTGAAGCATGTGCTACTTTGCCCCTGAATGACTAATAATCTAACACAAGAACAGTGCTAAAATGATGTGGATCAATTTTTTTTCAAATGCATTATTAATGATGCGTGCAGGTTTGACTGCCCTGTCTTTGACAGACCACTTTCAAACCATGCCTTGTTTTCTTGGCCATCCAGTCACTGCTTATCAACCACTTCTATCCGCCATTCACTCAGTCAAGTCTTCAGTTCAGCCAGCCTGCCAGATTTGGTGATATGGTGATAAAATGTGCCTATACCTTTTCAAAAACAAAAGAGAAATAAAAAAACTCTGTATTGATTTGTTTGGTTAGCACCACCATCAGCTGAATGCATATCAACAACAGTGTCTGCTCGAAGGTTGTTTCATTTGCTGGTTAGTTAATAATATGAGCTAGTTTGACTGAATAATAATATGTGTGTGTGAAAATACTCATGTAAAAAGTCTGTTACAGATTTAGAACCCCAGTGTAATTTTAGCTGGTAAGCTTAAAAAGTTAGCCTTTGCCAAAACCATGCAAATCATTTTTCACTTAAAATGCTTATTAACATAACATATAAATGGCTTTTACAGCACTGACTGTGCTATTACTTCATTAAGTACATGGAGTAAATTATCTGAAAACTCAAGTCTAGTAGAAAAGCGGAGAGGAGGCCTTTTTGATTCTCATTTTTGCATTGAGAGTGGAGTATTTTAGAGGATTTTTCTGTTTGTTTTGTCACTGTCCTGGAAGTACATTTCTGCTGTAGCCTGTTTTGTGGTAACAAGCTTAACTCGGTTAGAGAGTTGCATTCATAAGCTTGTTTATCACACTTTATTGGCTGCCAGCTGCTATGAGAATCAAGATTAAGCAGTCAGAATTATTATACAGAATTATACAAATATTATATATATATATATATATATATATATATATATATATATATATATATATATATATATATATATATATATAAATAACATCACTGTCAAATACAAATATATATACATAATTTAGTCAGCTTGTGGTAGTCATTGTTATTAGTTAGCTTTTAATTTCACAATAAATCAGCTAGCAAGACGGGAAACACAGTCTTTCCACTCATAAATTCATAAAAACATTAATAATTTTTAAAGGAATTTAAGAATTTTACAAGTTACATACAGTAAGAGAACATTTTTATTGTCTCATTGGATGAGGGGTTAGATTAAACAAATCAAACATCAATTTTTTCCTTTGGAAATTGGATAAGTTTTCAGATTTACAAATATCCTGCAGCATATTGTAATGTTTTTCCTGGGTATAGATTATGGATAGGTTACAGTTGCTAGGCTAGGAAGACCAACTGGTTGAACAAGTTTGCTACAGCACCACCCTGAGGCAGACCAGTGCTGCATCTCTATTTAGTTAAGAATGCCAAAGACAGATTTCAGATTGCGGGTGAAGCAGCTAAACAATGACCTTTCCTGAATTTGGGTTTGAGTGTCTGTTTTTCCCCGAGAAAGCATATTATTGTAATGGTTCTTTTTTCAAGGTCCTCCAAGAATTTTCAGAGGGTTTAAACAGTTAATTAGGGGGTCCCTGACCCCCCATGACCCCCTGTATTTTGCACCTTGGATATCACCACATAGGCTTGGGAATATGTTGACGAATTGCTGTCAATAAACAGTGTTCATCACTGCATCCACAAATACTAGTTAAAACGGTACTATGCACAGCAGAAACAATATGACACGAACAGAAACACTGCAGACTCTTCTGTGCTCAAGCTAATCTGAAATGGACTGATGCACAGTAGACAGGTATTGTGGTCTGATGAGTCAACCTTTCAGGTTGTTTATCGAAATAATGGACATCGTGTTGTAGAGGTCAAAACCTTCCAAATTGTTACTAGCATAAAGTTTAAAAGCCAGAGTCTATCTTGGTATGGGGGTGTATTAGTGCCCATGGCATGGGAAACTTGCGCTATGGTGATGCAATGGTGAAGGCACCACTAATGCTGAAATATACACATATCTTGGAGCAGCATGTGCTGCCTTTTAGACAACATCTTTATCAGGGACATCAATGCTTATTTAAACCTGACAAAGCCAAGCCACATTCTGCATGTGTTACAGCACGATGGTTCTATGATCAGATGCTAGACTGAGGTACGTACAGTTCATCTGTAAACAGAATCTACTGTTATTCCAACAGCCACATCTAAACATCACAGTAGAGAAATGTGTGCTGCTTTACTTGCTCTACTGGAATGAAAAGGCAATGATGTTTCTGAGCACTGTATTAGGAGCACTATACTAATACCAGGTACTCTTCGTGGCATGAATTCCACAAGATGTTGGAAACCGTCATTTGAGATTCTGGTTCATGTTGACCTGACTGCATTCATGCAATTCCTGCAGATTTTTTCAACTGGATTCAGAAGTAGCCACTAAAAGATGAGTAAATTGTGGCCATGAAGGGATGCACGTGATCAGCAATGATACTCAAGTAGGCTGTGACATTCAAGCAATGAATGATTGGTAGTAACAGGCCCAAAGTGTGCCAAGAAAACATTCCCCACACCATTACACCACCTCCACCACCCTGGACTGTTGACACAAGGCTGGCTGGGTCCATGGATTCATGCCGTTGGGGCAAAATTCTGAGTCTACCATCTGTGTACCTCATTAGAAATTGAGATTCATCAGATCAGGGTATGTTTTTCCAGTATTCAACTGTCTGGTTTTGGTGAGCCTGTGCCCACTGCTGCCTCAGCTTTCTGTTCTTGGCTAGCAGAAGTGAAACCCAACGTAGTTCTCTGATGTTGTAGCCCATCCGGCCTCAAGGTTTGACATTTTCGGCATTCTGAGATGCTTTTCTGCTCACGACAATTGTACAGAGTGGTTGTCTGAGCAACCATAGCCTTTCCATCAGCTCAAACCAGTGCTGCTGCCACACAACTGGCTGATTAGATAACTTCATAAAAGAGGAGGTGTGCAGGTGTTCCTAATAAAGTTATCATGAATGTATGTGTTTATATAAGCAAACCAGTTTAACAAAGACTCTTGGGGAGGGTAACACTGACTGTAGGCAGACGTGTTTCACACATCTTATCTATGTGTGTGGATATGCCAGTATAGCACCACCGATTTTGCAAACTTACTTAATCACTCAATGGTTTAGATGTAAACAAAAGAGTTTTGTGTGCCTATCTAGAGAAATGTACCGAGTGAAAATTGTTCACCATTATAGTACAAGGAACTATATGTCTGTATGTCTGTATGGCTACACTGCAAATATCACCATTTTATCTGCTATCCAAAATGACCAATGAACTTACATGTGTCTTATAAGGTTTTATATGTCACGCTGATAATTGTAAAATAGTGCTAAATAAAAAAGAGCTTATGTGAGCAACTTATTCACAACAGGAGCAGCGATCGATCACAGTTGCGCTTCGCTGTCCTACTATGGGGTGAGATTACTGTGTTTAATGTGAGAGCGCAAAGACAAGGATAAATCGAGTAAATCAGAAAAACGAGCGCTCAGAATCAAGAAAACCGAGCGAAAAGAGCGACACCGAGAGAACAGAAAAAGAACTGCGCGCTTCAGACACGGCACATCGGGGTTTTATGTGCTCGCTTATCGCAGCCCCGCGCTCGCTTCACTGATTTTAGCTCGCGTTTCACTCGATTCCGAAATATCTGCTTCATAATTACAGCAGGAAATAGAGGTCAAGGCTTGGTAGCCGATTACCTGAACTGTCGATTGCAAGCGTTTACAGTGAAGTTTACTGCCTGAATTTGTTGCCAGTGTTTTTTTTTTTTCAGTTTGAACCTTGAATTATCTGAATTCTACACATATTCAACAACTGTTTTTCGGTTTTGCCTTAGTGTTTTGAAGAAATAGTTGATTAAAAGTATGGACTAATTTATTTATTAGAGTATTAAGCAGGCCGACAGCAAAAGAAGACAGCTCAGATGTGGGACAAGAAGCGGCTCAAAGGTGTGTTCAATGTGCATGGCAAGAGCTAACTTTCTCCAGCGTGGTCTTCAACAATGGCAGCGACAAAAGACAAAAGAAAACCACCCCACAATGCTCCATGCATGTGTGTTATATGTGGGTAAAGCCAGTGTAGATACAGGAGCATTGTAGGAATTTTTAACTGGCAATTTTTTAATGATTCATTATTGTTTATTTGGATATTAATTATTGTACATACTTTTTATCTCATCAATAATCACTTTCAAGTACTTTCAATAGGTTGAGAGAATTTTATTCAGTTATTTTATGGTGTGCTTTCCATAATTTGAGAGAAGTTGCATTAGTAGTGCTGTTCAAATGTAATACACTTAATTTCTTGGCAGACATGATGTCAAGAATTAAAACACATTTTCTTTAAACTAAGCTCTGAGCAAAAAGGGAAGAATCCCTTCTGCTCAGTAACTGCCCTTGACCAGTGTTACTTCAGGTATTGATTGCTAATTATTACTAGTAAATATATTGTTATAAATTCTTTGGCCAACTTAATTGTTGTGTGCATATTCTTAGGACTTTGGGGGAAATTTTTGCTGCAAGCTTGGTTCAAGGAGTCCACCACCAAATTTTATGCATGAATGGTGCTACACCAACTTTGCCACAGGAGATTTTGACAAATTGATTCTTACCTCAGATGATGTAACAGATCAAGAAACCAGAGAGCTGATCAGTAAAGTATATTTTATGTGGTAAATTTTATTGTAGTCTAAATGTCACATTTTATTTGCTTTGGCTTTTAATTGCAATAAAGTGATGTTTTAGGTGACAAGTGCCACAGCTAAAGACCTACCTAACCTTACCAATGACATATTATCCCGTGGATATATAGGTGTCGTATGCATAGACAAAAAGGAGCAAAATATAAGGTTTGTGCATTTGTTTCTATTTAAATATGAACCACATAATTACACATTTTAATGGAACTTTCCAAAGGCCAAGCCAGAAAATACATATCCTTACATTAGAGGCACTATTTATTTTTTTTGTTTCAGAACCATTGTTCTGCACTCTCTGGCTCAACTTTTTCCAACGCTTCAGCAGTTACGTAAATGTGCAGCTCTACAACAAGGGCGATAGGGTGATGTTGCTGAACACTATAGTGTATATACATATATACATATATATATATATATATATATATATATATATATATATATATATATATATATATATACACACACACACACACACACACACAGAGAGATAGATAGATTGATTGATTACAACCACGAAATACCAAGCCGTGATCTCTGACGTATTTCCTGCTGTAATTATGAAGGTGTTGCCCGGTCTGCCGCGTCTGAAGCGCAGTTCTTGTTTCTGTGCTCTCAGTGTCGCGCTTTTCACTCGTTTTTCTGACTGATTGATTGATACGATTTTCTGTTCAGTAAATGCGTGCGCCCGCGGACATGATTAAAGGGAACGTGAATTTGAAGGGGGACTGAATCAGATACACCACCGGCGTTAGCCGTGCTGAACGGCTGTAGCTACAGGCTAGTAACTACAATAGCATATTAGTGTACATTGATCTCAGCTGAGAATGCGGTTTTGAGAAGAAACACTCAAGTAATCCCGGAGTAATAATTTATATTAAAAATACGTTTTAGGCCAAAACAATGTCTCAACGTCTGTATCAAGCAACACATTTATAACCGTTTTGTGTAATAACTTAATGAGATGTACCTTTTAGAGCCATTAAATGCTTTGGACGTCTGGTTCCTAGTACTATAATGGTGAAAAATTCTGACTGGGTGAATTTCACCCCAAACCACTCAATGATTTTGTTTACATCTAAACAATTGAATAAGTAATATTGCAAAATCAGTAGATATCCCCTTTAAGAAAACAAGACATTTACCATCTACACCATTAGAAGCTGGTTTTAAATTCAGACATTTACAAACTTGCTTTGTCTACAAAGCCTTAGTTCTTTTAATAGTTGTCATGACTGCACATGTGAATGATCAGCATGATCACATTTCTGAGATATTGAAGTAAAATAAGAAAAACTGACAGAGGGCAGTTTGTTTGCTGGGAGTTGGAAACACTTATAAATAGAACTAAAAGTGTACAAAGCACTTAAAACCCATTGTTTGGCTATTTTTAATCATAGATAAGAGACTCAGAAAAACAACTGTATAAAGAGAGACAAAAGTCTTTATTACATTTTTATTTCGGTCCCAAAAACCATCATAATAACATTATATCAATAATAATATTAATAAAGAAAATAAAATTTACCCAAAATAAAATAGCTTCAGTTTCCACAACCTCCAGATTTTAGCCTACAGGCTCAGGCATGTCCATTTGTAGGAAAAGGGGTGTGGTTTCAAGCTAAGGCGAGATGTCATCTGGTGTCAGTCAGGAATGTAGAGGTGGTGGGCGGTGCTTCAGGGGCAGGGTTAAGAGGGCAAGCCTAATGCAGGCTACTGCTGAGATACCTATAACCATTAAAACAAACGAGAAAAATCAAAAAACAGGAAAGACCGCTCCGATTACACAAATGGGCTTAAGTCAACAAGAAATGAACACATTTTCCTTCCATAACATGACATGACATTTCCAAGAGAAACACAGTATTAGGGAAGGTCTCTGAGCTAGTTGAGCATTTTCACTTGATGAGGCAGGATGGAAATAGGAAATGCAACATATCATTAGTTAATATTATTTTGCCCCTGCCTGCTGGGGCAATGTTATTAAATTTTAATAATAAGATTACAGGAAAACAAGGATTTTGTTTATTATATTTTTTGCGCAATACGATCAGGGACATGAAGGGACAAGGTAAACAAGGTACATTCTGATTTCAGGTTGATTTTAAAATAAAAAAAATAAAAAAGGACCTTAACTTCCACACTGCATGTGAATCACAGGACACATCTATAATAAAGTTTCCCAAAGCAACATGACTGATACCTGCTGAGACTGTGTGTCTGGACCTCTGCTGGCCAAGCGACTCAGAATGTTTCTCTCAGACATCTGTAGCCTCACAGCAACTGGTGGTATCCTGGCAATGGTCGCTGGGAGACGGGTGACATCTGCCTTCATGTCACTGAGCAACTCCTCTAGCTGTTTCAGCACTATTATAAATGTGGTGCAAAAAAGGTAATAAGAATCAGTAAAAACAGTTTTGCTAAATAAAATTCAGATAAGGATGGGCGATATGGAAAAAAACAGTATGACAATACTTCAAATTTTCATGATACATATCAAAACATTTTAAACAATGCTTTCAGTGCAATGATTATTACTTAACATTTCACATACTGTGCTGCACTAAATCAAATTAAATAGTTTTAATTATGCTTTGTAATGAAACATGGAGTTGGTCAGCATTCTTTAAATACAGATATCCACAACATGCACAAATTGCATGATGCGCATCATAAGTTTATGAAGATAAAAACAAAATATATATTGTCATATTGCTCACCCCTACATTCCGGAACTGCACTTCCCTGAATGAGTATCATTATTTGAACATTTTTGCACTATTCAGCAATTACAATGCGCAATTAAACATGCTGAAATTTCACAGACAAAAGGCAAAACAAAAAACACCAATAAAATTAAACAGATTCAGATAAACAGGAAACAAAGACGGCATCATAGTTTCCTCTGAAATCACTCACCTTTGTGCAGGACGGCATTGGCAGGTTTGTTGCCCGACATGGACTCTTTACTGAGATGCTGATGGGATTCGGCTAGGCACTCCACTTCACTGAAGCGCGTGTTCAGAGCCATGGAGGGGTGAGAAGGGTCCTCAGTCATATTTAAGTATGCTGCTCTTCTCAATTGCTCCTCAATCACCAGAGCTTGCTCCAGAAGCTAGAGAAAGTCAACAGGCATCCGAAAAACATGAACTTCATTCAGATTCATAATTGTAGCAGTACTTCTGTCTAGATAAGATTCAAAAGACCTCCCAACAGTTCAGTACTATACCTTAAATCTCCTGGCCAGAAACTTGTTTTTGATCTCCAGGAAGTTTCCTCGGTTCATCTCACCCTTGAAGGGCTCATTGAGGATTGCGAATTTAACATCATTCTGAATGTCCTGCCACCGGGCATAGCCATGTCTGAGAAAAATGAGTTAAGGACGCCAACACAACACAAGCACTTAAACAGATCATGCGCACCTCTCAGTCATGTATATCTAGAAACAATGCAGAGGATACTGTATGATGCCAGCAAGAAGCCAGTAGTCATGGCGACGATGCCAAATCTCATTTGTTTTCTTGGTAACAGTGGCTGCCCGCTCCTCATTCTGCCACAGGGAGTGCAATTCTGTGCAACAGAGGTTCACCAAATAAGCAAAAATAACAACAGAAAAAGGCACAGAAAGAAAAATCACAGCAGCCGGTCTTCTTACCAGTAAATCCTCCATCTGCTATATTGAACATGAAACGGGTCTTTGCTTTCTTCTTCTCCTCACTCGCTCCTGCCGCCACTCCATCTTTGGCGCTGTCTCCATTCTGTAACTTGGCAGGCTCCTCTGTCTTACCAGCCTCCTTTTCATCCTTTTGGTCTAGAATAAGGGAGCGGGAGAGAAAGAGCAAATTATAGTATACTGTTAAAGAACCAAAGTAGGCATATATTAGTTGAGTAAACCAGGTTCTACCTTTCTTCTCATTAGGAGAAGGGGTGGTGTCCATCTTTTCTATTTTATCTTCTTTCTTTTCATCTGATGAAGACAGATTAGAACTTAAAATTTAGACAACAACCATAACCCATTTTCCATCCAATATACAGTGCATCTGAAAAGTATTCACAGCGCTTCACTTTTTCCACATTTTGTTGTTATAGCCTTATTCCAAAATGGATTAAATTCATTTTTTTCCCTCAAAATTCTACACACAATACCCCATAATGACTAAGTAAAAAAGTTTGTTTGAATGTTTTGCAAATTTATTAAAAATAAAAATAAAAAAAAATTACATGTACATAAGTATTCACAGCCTTTGCTCAATACTTTGTTGAAGCACCTTTGGCAGCAATTACAGCCTCGAGTTTTTTGGAGTTTGATGCTACAAGCTTGGCACACCTATTTTTGGGCAGTTTCTCCCATTCTTCTTTGCAGAACCTATCAAGCTCCATCAGGTTGGATGGGGAGCGTCGGTGCACAGCCATTTTCAGATCTCTCCAGAGATGTTTAATCGGGTTCAAGTCTGGGCTCTGGCTGGGCCACTCAAGAACATTCAGAGTTGTCCCGAAGCTACTCCTTTGTCATCTTGGCTGTGTGCTTAGGGTCGTTGTCCTGTTGGAAGATGAACCTTCGCCCCAGTCTGAGGTCCAGAGCGCTCTGGAGCAGATTTTCTTCAGGGATGTCTCTGTGCATTGCTGCATTCATCTTTCCCTCGACCCTAACTAGTCTCCCAGTTCCTGCTGCCGAAAAACAGCCCCACAGCATGATGCTGCCACCACCATGCTTCACTGTAGGGATGGTATTGGCCAGATGATGAGCGGTGCCTGGTTTCCTCCAGACATGACGCCTGGCATTCACGCCAAAAAGTTCAATCTTTCTTGTGCCTTTTACTGAGGAGTGGCTTCCGTCTGGCCCCTCTACCATACAGGCCTGATTGGTGGAGTGCTGCAGAAATGGTTGTCGTTCTGGAAGGTTCTCTCTCCACAGAGCAACGCTGAAGCTCTGTCAGAGTGACCCTTGGGTTCTTGGTCATCTGCCTGACTAAGGCCCTTCTACCCCGATCACTCAGATTGGCCGGGCAGCCAGCTCTAGGAAGAGTCCTGGTGGTTCCAAACTTCTTCCATTTACGGATGATGGAGGCCACTGTGCTCATTGGGACCTTCAATGCTGCAGAATTTTTTCTGTTCCTTTCCCCAGATCTGTGCCTCAATACAATCCTGTCTCAGAGGTCTACAGACAATTCCTTGGACTTCATGGCTTGGTTTGTGCTCTGACATGTACTGTCAACTATGGGACCATATACAGACAGGTGTGTACCTTTCCAAATCATATCCAATCAACTGGATTTACCACAGGTGGGCTCCAATCAAGTTGTCAAAACAACTGAAGGATGATCAGTGAAAACAGGATGCACCTGAGTTCAATTTTGAGTGTCATGGCTGTGAATACTTATGTATATATCATTTTTTGTTTGTTTATTTTTAATAAATTTGCAAAACATTCAAACACTGTCATTATGCAGTATTGTGTGTAGAATTTTGAGGGAAAAAAAAAAAATTGAATCCATTTTGGAATAAGGCTGTAACATAAAATGTGGAAAAAGTGAAGTGCTGTGAATACTTTCCAGATGCACTGTACATAGGCACCTAAATGTCTACTTTCTATACAAAATGCATAGCGTGCTTGACAGAGAGATGACCCAAATCTGCAACCTGTGCACCAATCAGGATGATCACCTTTGCTCTCAGCGTCATCTCTCTTCACTTCCGACCCTTCAGTCTTTGACTCATCTGAAGTCTTGTTTTGCTCCCCAGCATCTCCAGCCTTCTCTTTGTCTCTCTCTTCACCATTTCCTGCTTTCCCTGTCTCTGTGGTAGATTCGCAAGCCTTGTTTTTCTCTTCTTTTTCATTCTGTTCAGCAGGGGAAGGCGTTTTCTCATCATCATCATCATCAGGAATGGCGATGACCTATTAGACGGGCATGCGTTTAGCTCTAGATTTTCAAAGTTCATGTGTGATATGCAAAATTAATTTCACTCTTTACTCACCTCAGACTCTGCTTTCTTACTAGGTTCCTTACTCTGATCACCCTCTCCATCTTTCTTGAATTCTTTCTCTTTTTCAGTCTCTTTGATGCCATCTTCTGACTTTGAGGGATCTTCTGTAGAGAAAAGGAAGGTAGTCAATAAGTTTAAAAAAAAGAAAAAAAGGCCTCTGAATTTAATTAATTAATTTCTAACACAATCTCAAATTGTGCAAAGTACTCAAGCTGTATTTCAGTTAGTTATATTTCCTGTGAACATAAACAGTGTCTATATCTTGGTCATATCTGTATGTAATTACACTATTTTAAGAATTTGCTGTCTTGTATTCCACTTGAAGAGGGGACAACAGATAATACATACATACATACATACATACATACATACATACATACATACATTTGGTTTCAGCGTAAACAACAACTCACTGTGTAGAACGGATGTCAAAACAAAAGCAAACTCATTTTAACCATACTAAATAAGCTGCAGAAAAGAAGCTTGCAAAACCAAATGAACCTGGAGCAGGTGTGTTGGGTTGTGTGTCAGCTGGAGTGCCAGTCGAAGGAGTTTTCCCTGGGGAGTCTGGATGACCAGCAGCAGCAGCAGCTTTATTTTCTTCTAGCTCCATCATCCAGGGCATGGACCACTGACCATTCACATGCTCAAATTCCTGCACCTGGTAACAGACAGCATAGGGAAGATAGGGAACCATGAGCTACAATTTACATTGAAGCAAACAGAATGAAGCCATTAGTCATGCCAGAATGAAGTCAGTAAAACCAGCTAATTTTATTCCAGAAATGTTGCTTACCTTCTTACGGATCAATGACATCACCCCAATCCGAGTGAGGACGTGTTGCCGTGACAAACCTTCTCGTGGCACACCATCAGCAAAGGTTTCAGCACCATCAGCACCAGGTTCACACAAGTGCCTCATAAAGAGCGAGACATATGCCCTAGGACAGAGAAAGAGGACAGTAAGAAAAACAGCGCAACACCTTGAGCCAAACATAGACTCGTGAGGCACAGACTGGGAAGATACATAAGGCTGACGCTCACTTGAACTCTTTCTCAGATTTCCCTCGCAAATCCCTGACCAGCCATTGGGTGGTGAATGCATCCTGTGGTGGCATCCCATAACGCATCACAGCATTCAAGAAGGCCTTCCGCTGGCGTGCATTGAAACCCAATACCTAAAACAAAACATGTTAAAGCGTTGGAACAAGAGGCCCACTATGACTCAGTCAAGTTAGGTGACTGGTAACAAGTATTAAAATCTTAAGATTAAATGAGTTCACCTCAATGTTGCCTCCCACTCTGGCCAGCAGGGGGGGTAATGGTTTGTCCTTGTCATTTCTGAGACCTTTCCTGTTCGGTCTACGGGAATTGGCTAAATTTGGAAAAAGGATTGTTATGAGCACAGTCCAAAAGACCTGCATTTCACATCAAAGATGTTTACACTGCCTTAGTGCCATTGATAGAGCAATTTACCTTCAGCACGCTCGTCAAAGTCCTCATCTCCTTCTTCTGAGGCAACAGAGTAGTCTGACTGACCATCAGACTGGTCATCCTGCCAGTCTATTGTTAAAGGAAGAAAAGGATAAAAACGAATTTGAAAACTGTATATGTGTGAATGATTAACATGTATCTACACAATGGAACTGAATTCATTATTGCAATAGTGGGTAAATAAAATGATTAGCAGTCTAGTGTTTTACACAAGCCCAAGGAATACTTTTCACATAATTCACTCAATGTAAGATTTAAATGAACAAAGCATGACATGACTTTTTCCTCCTCCCTCCACTCTTCCTCTTTAAAGCACCACCTCAAACACAGTATCTAAAACAAATTTGTCTATCAACTGCCATTCAAAGTGAATCATATTAAATTGCTGAAAAAACAATTTGGGAATTTTTTAATTCCGTATGATTTGTGATTATCGTGAAACACAAAAATTAAAAATGTATGTGCAAACACACCTCTGTCTTCCTGAGATCCATCATTGTAGTTGACCTGCTTGCGAATACGCTTGCCCTTGCCAAGGTTTCGGGCCAAGTCCTCCTGCTGCTGCTCATAGTGGTGCCTGAGCAGCTTCTCCCAGTAGTCTGGGTCCACGCTCTCTTCCTGCTTAATGATTTCTCTCTGTACCTCCTCTTCCTATTGACAGCAGGAAAAAAAGAAGAAATATTTTAACTTTAAAACATCTACAACTGTTCTACAAAAGTTTCTTGGCAGATTTGCAACACTCACCTCATCGTCCTCATCTTTGACCACATACTGAGCCACCTTGAAGGAACTGAGGTACTCATTCATACTCTGGAGCTCTGTGTCCTCTGTAGCATCCTGGTTACGGTCCAACAGCCGGTCTATGGCCTTATCATCATAATGAATCACGCTGCTGTCCTCCTCTTTGTTCTCCCCTAATAGAATTATGGGAAATAACACAGCAATATTTACTTTACTGTATGTGTGCGTGTACCTATAGTAACTAAGAACTGATTACGTAGCATCCCTAGTTTAAAAAAAATTAATAAAGCCAATAAAAAAAAAAAAAACTTTTAAAAACATATGCACTAAGCACTGAAACACTTAAATACTCACCTTCTCCCTCATCTTTAAATAGCTCCTCTGTGCCAAATTTGAGAATGTCATCCAGCTCTTGCTTGGACATGGATCCCGTTTTGGAGCCCAAGCCAGGTCGTACCACTAAGTGGGTAAGCATCATCTTCTTCTTGGCCACCTATGTAGGAGAGGAAAAAAAAAAAAAACAAGGTTCACAAAGTTTATATAAAGAAGGTAAGAAAGCAAGAGAACATTGAGTTTGTTACGGAAAGAGGTGATACCTGAGTAATTCTCTCTTCCACAGAGGCCTTGGTGACAAAGCGATAGATCATCACTTTCTTGTTCTGACCAATTCTGTGAGCTCTGCTGAAGGCCTAGATGACATTTATTAAAAAACAAAATTATACTGAAGCTAAATAAGCAAAATACAAATAAATAATAACACTGAAGCCAACAAATCAGCTAAAATACTGATCTGTTGAAAGAATGAAAAGTCCAGCTTCACTAGAAAAGCTGTAGTGTTGCTTGATGGCTCACCTGAATATCATTGTGAGGGTTCCAGTCGGAGTCATAGATGATGACTGTATCAGCTGTGGCCAGGTTGATACCCAGACCACCAGCTCTGGTAGACAAAAGGAAAACAAACTGAACTGCACCCGGAGCTGAGGGAGAGATGGAGAACCATTCAGCTTTGTGTGGGGTCACACACTTGAAAGACTGGTATAATCAATGGGTAAAGACAAGACTCACCGTTGAAGCGATCAATGGCTTCCTGTCTCATTGCCCCAGTAATACCACCATCAATACGCTCGTACTTGTAGCCCTCATTCTCCAGAAAGTCTTCCAGTAGATCCAACATTTTGGTCATCTAAAACAAAATGACAATTGTAAGCTTTTTTACTTTCTGCATGAGCATGGCTTGGTTTGTGCAATTATTGGTTTGGGTCCAAGACTGCACCTGAGAGAAGATGAGCACCCTATGCCCTCCCTCTTTCAGCTTGCGTAGCATCTTGTGAAGCAGCAACAGTTTCCCAGAGGCCTTAGTGAGGGCACTGCCATCATACATCCCATTGGGCATCTTAGGTGCTTCCTGTTTTAAGCAATCACAAACATTATTTAACAACTATCTAAAACAGACCTATTCTGCCTATTTCCTAGTGACCCTTGAACCATTTCAACAGTCCATTGTCGTATAAATGTTAGGAGTGAGCATACCATAGCAGCAACAGGGAAAAGGTAAGGGTGGTTGCAGCATTTCTTTAGGTCCATCACCACATTGAGCAGGGAGACTTGGTTTCCACCTCCTCGAGTGTTCAGGGCCTCAAAGTTGCGGGTCAGGATGAACTTGTAGTATTTCCTACAAATAATGGAATAGTGCTTAAGATCTTTACTGGGGTCTGCAAACTAATGAAAATGCTAGGGGTCAAGTTTAGGCACAGAAGAAGCCAAGGCAAGCACTTATTTCCATACTCAACAGGGATTCTGCATTAGAAGGCCTTCTTAGTTTATCCAGGCTCTCATCGCTTATCACGCTGCTCCTTTTAATGCTATTCCTTCAAGTACAAGGTACAACCTAAAAAGCTACACCTACTAACAGGCTCTATAGCTTACACCACTGCCTACAACTACAGTCTTGAGGATTTTAAGTCATCTCAAAACTCTGGACCCTTTTACTGAGAAACGTCTATCCATCTAACCCCTCTATTCCTTTCATTCCTTCCTTTCTCACTCACTCACTTTTGCATGGGACTGAGCTCCACTCGGACGATAAGCTCAGTCTTAGAGGGCATATGCTTGAACACGTCTGCCTTGAGTCTCCTGAGCATATGCGGTCCCAGCATGTCGTGCAGCTTCTTAATCTGGTCCTCTTTAGCAATATCAGCAAATTCTTCCAGGAATCCCTCAAGATTACTAAGGGAGACAGAGACCAGGGCATAGAGTTATGGTATCAGTTCACAGGACTAGTCTATCACTCACATGTAACTTATTCATACAAAAACACACACACACAAAATACCTGAATCTCTCTGGCGTGAGGAAGTTGAGCAAGTGGAACAGCTCCTCCAAGTTGTTCTGGAGAGGAGTTCCAGTAAGCAGCAGCTTGTGCTGAAGGGAATAGCCATTCAGCACTCTGAAAAACTGCAAACACAGGAACACTGATAGCGTTACAACAAGCCAGATTTTCCAAAGCTAAATCCTGGAAATAATTTAGCCAAACTCCACATAACACTGACTATTATTTGTCAAGATATTACTTTTGATTCTTTGGACCTGTAACCTTTGGTACACTTCAGAGCATTTCTTTTAAGTTGAATACTGAATCAACAGTCAGTCATTTTCTTTAAACCTATAAGCATCATGTCTAATGCTAGATTATCCAGACAAAAAAATTTAGTCCAGATTAGTCTTGAAAAGTAAGGACAAACCTTGGACTGGTTGTTTTTTAGCCTGTGGGCCTCGTCCACTACCAGACAGGCCCAGTCAATGGAGCCCAGGATGGCCATGTCAATAGTGATTAGCTCGTAAGAGGTTAGGAGAACATGGAACTTTACAGAGGCTTCTTTCTGCAAGTACAAGAAAAGATGGAAAGGATTAATGTGATGTAGACAAAGTACAGTACAGTGGATGATAACATTTTTACCCATTAGTACAGTAAAAACGACAACACGTTTTATGCACGTAAATGTTTCATTCTGTGTATTGTGTTACACTCCATTGCTTATCAGTAGATATTCTGACACAGAGGCTGAACTCACCTTCATCCTGGAGGCCTTCTTGCCACCACGAATGGCATTGTCCTCAAATGAGAACTCGTTCTCTCTTATGACAGCTCTGCTGTCCTTGTCGCCCACGTATGTGACAACATACATGTCTGGAGCCCACATTTCAAACTCTCGCTCCCAATTAATGATGGTGGAGAGAGGTGCACTGACCAGGAATGGGCCTTTAGAATGACCCTAGAACAGTGAGGAAAAGTTTGTCAACTTAAAATCAAAGTAATACTAAAAGCATGCCACAATCAAGTGATTAAGGCAGTTATCACATATGCCTACAAGTGGGGTCACCCTGTTTATGCTCAATTATGGCCACTGTTGCATCTTCACAGAATTTTTTTGCCTCTTTTTTGGAACCAACCTACAGAAAGAGGAGTTTCTCAGCTGCTATTCACAGCAACTGTTTCAAGACAAGTCACATGGTCATGTCACATAGAAGCTAGCTTGAGCCAGAAATAAAATATGTGCTTCTGGTCAGAAACCTGCCAGCTAACTCTGACAGAAAGAACAGATTATTAAGTCACACTTAAACAGCTTATAATTCACTTCTTGTTTAAAAAAATGAGAATGGGAAAAGATTACAATAGTAAATAAACCTACAGGCTACTGTTATTGTCATTACCACAGCTTTGACAACTTCAAATCATTTCCATGGCCAAGCTTGTGTTAATGTTTTGTGAGAAATATTCCTTTCATGGAAGACTACAGGATGGCTCCATCTATTGTAGTAGTATTTAATTACTAAATAAGTATTAACAGCAGCCTTTGCCTGAGCGACACAAACTACTGTAAATGAAGATTACTTCCACTTTTAACATCAAGGACCTCTAATGGACTAGAACTAATATACAAGTCTCATCTTCTGGTTGAGGAGTATTCTGCACCTCAGCCAGCAGGTGGCAGACAAGCCTTACACTATAGCCATCTACAAGCAATGATGGTCATCCATGTTGATTAAATCTGTAAATTGAAGTTGAGGATATGCTCTAAAATCAAAATGGCAACCCCACTAACTCATATATCTAACTCATACAAGCACATGCATGCACACACACAGGGGAATACTTGCACACTTTCCCTGCATACAAACCTCTTTGTACAGGGAGTAAAGGAACACGGCAGTCTGCACAGTCTTTCCCAGGCCCATTTCATCGGCCAGGATGGTGTCGGTGCCCTGGGCCCAGGAGAAACGCAGCCAGTTTAACCCTTCCAGCTGGTAGGGATGCAACGTACCACCCGTTGCATCCAGATATTCTGGCTGACGCTCAAACTTAATGGTGGGCTGAAGAAAAAGGAACAGCAACAGGGTTTCCATTAGCTTACAATACCTTAGAGCCTTTTGTTATTTGTGTATAATGACTGCCACAAGCCAAATAAAACTATAAAAAAAAGTAATTTGTTAAAAATCGTTCGCAAAAATATTTTGTAAACACTATGTATATTCTATTATGTAAATGTTACAGAATATTAGTTTCTCACTTTTAACCCACTAACAATCTCTACAGAGTAATGTTCATTCTACTTGTTTTAAAATGTGTTGTATACAGCATAGTCATCTTTTGGACTGAACTGTGCAAGACAGTAATAAAAATTTGAATTAGGTCCAATTCTCTCTTAGGCTATAGCTACAACGGTTTTAAAATCAATCCAAAATTCTGAAAAACAGCCAGTCAAAACACATAGGAAGAGAAACATTACAGACTGCACCAGCACAATACATCATGTAGAAAGCAGCATCAACAAATGTTATCACTGCTAACAGTACATGCAAACAAGTTGGTGAGCAGTTAACATGACTGACATGCATTATTTGCCCCGCTAGGTTTCAGTCACTTTAAATAGCATTAATATTTTGGTAATAAACATTCCCTGAAGGAAAGCCCATCAAGCTTCATATGCAAGCAGTATGTATTCTGCATAGTTAAGGAAGACTTACATCCACTACAGGATTCTCCGGGGGTCTGTCCAGTCTCTTCATCTTTCCTTTGACCTTGAGTTTCTTATTCGGTCTACCGTCATCTCCCATCATAAGCTCCCTATCGGAGAGAATTACAATGCTTACTGGCCTTTACACACTTAAGTGGATGACTTCACCTGTGTGGCCTAAAGAGGTAGCACAAGCACACAAGTCCCTTAAGTAAAAGTTCATAAGAGTTCATAATTCCATTTCTCAAACAATGTGAGTGTTAATGAGACGTATACAACCATGACATTAAGCATGAATAATGCTTTACACGAGACCTGCAGGAATCATCTGCAAAATTATCAGATAACTGATTTTAATATCAATTTTAATATCTCTTTTTCTGGTTAGGAATTTTTTTTTAAGATGTACTTGCATTTTCCAGAACATACACTGGCTCACTTCTATTACTTTCTTTGGGTTCTGTGATGGCTGCTTTCACAAACCCGCAGCTCAATCTGCCCATGATGATTTGCAAAGCAGACAAAGAGTGGTGTTGGGGCCAAAGAGCTCATGAATAGACTAAAGAAATTAGCACTTATTCATCTCCATTTTGGAGAAGAAAGACGGGGAAGAAAACGTCCACTGGGTTTAACTCTTCCTAATCAGCCTATGTAAACATTGGCAATGTCAGCAAATGCCTTGAAATTTTTGGATCAGTTTTACCCGCTCTCTTTTTTGATTGGTTACCTCATGAAAAGTGACACTGAAATTAAACATTTTTCAACTGAATATACACCAGAGGGTAACGAGTAACAAGCCTAGTTTCAGAATGTAGTGAGAAGAGAGTAGATTTTTCGTTGAAAATGTAGTAAGTAAAAAGTATTAAGTGAAAAACACTCAAGTACAGATACGAGCAATTTTTACATAAGTACTTATACTTCATTACTTTTTCCTCCCTCCCATGGCCTGTGAAACTAGGCAATTCATATCTGCTGTTTTCTTTCACTCATTATTCAGGATAAACAGAGCTCTTGCTCTCCATAAATCCCAGACAGTTTGCAGACATGAAGCACTTAGCACAGCAGTGAACAAGTTTTGGGAGCAAAAAAAAGTGGAAGTGTGTGCTTGCACGTTTGGGTGTAAGCATGTGTTTTATACCTGTGATTCCAGTACTGCAGTTTATAAGCCTCATATTCTGGGATCTCCATGTCCTCCAACTCCCAGGTAGCCTGGTCATACGGTAGATCCCTCCACTTGATGAGGTAGTGACAGTTATTTTTCTTATCCACACTACACAGGAAAAACAGATATTTACGTTTAGGGGTTAAATCTTCACTGTGATTTAACTTCTGATTCTTTTTTTTTGTTGGTTTAAACAATATCTGCCCTAAACAAAAGGATGCACAGATGTGGTCCTGACGTTTTACAGCAATACAAAGTTATGAAAACACTGATATGAACATCAAGGATAGCTGTAACATAGCCCTAGAGCAGACCTGTGATTCACATTTCAGTGGAGACTCTGCTCTAGCAGACCTGACTGAAATGAGCTCGTAGTTGAGAGCTCAACTACGGCCTTTTAGAACATTTCTGAGGACTTTTCAGAGAACTCAGCAGCACGCAGCTGAAACTGGTGTTGCAGAACTAAGTCTCACCTGTGGTTGAGGACGCGGTGGATCATCATCCACTCCATTTTGATGCCAAAGCGATAATACTTTTCTTCCATCTGGGCATAGATGGGGTCTTTGTTCTTCCTCTTGTCACTCTTATCTTCATCACCCTCACCTCCAAAGTCTAAGGGCGGGGGCTCGTCCATGTCATTCTTGCGCTGGTAGTTCCTGAACATCACCTGGCAATGCAGTTCCAGCTGAGGAGGAGAGAGTGAGAGAGTAAACCTTCACATAGGCTTGACAAAGAGTGGAAAACTGGATGGTAAGCTGCCTTATATTATATACTATATTAGATACTGATATTTATTAGGTCCTAACTGATGACAGAAATTGCTTGAGCTCAAATAAACAAACTCTACTTCTACTCACAGCTGCCTTCTACAGATGTTCCAGTAACCGCAAAAAGTTATTAAGTTAAGAAGTAACTTTTGTTGCTTTCATAGGACCCACGACATCTCTATAAACATGTATTTTGCTGCATAAACATATTACTAAAGCTAACAACTGTGGAAAACTATGCTGTCAGTTTTAATATCTGCAATCAGTCACAGATAATTGAAACGGGTACAGGACTACATTCAAACTAGCATTTATACAAAATAAGCCAGAGATAGCCTGACAGTCTTTGTATAATTGACCATAACCACTGAACTATACTCTGTTGGCTTAATTTAAAAGAAAAAAATATTTGAGGGATTAAGATATATGTACACAGACCTGCACCTCAGACACCCACGAGCAGTGCCAATAGGACATGTTCTGCCACTTGACAAAGAACTCTCTCTCGGGCCGCCCAGCCAATGGAGGAGGGTCAGGGGCGTCGGCTGGAAGGTCGGGGGATCGGGGCACAGGGGTGGGAGGTGGTGGATCGCCCCAACGCCAGGTAAGAATCTTCTGCACTTTCCCTTTCAAAGGAGGACACTGAAATGACAGTCAAACCAAATTAAGAATCCCATGAAAGACTATAAATTAAGATTACTTCTTTAGGCAAAATAAAAGGGTGAACAAATGTTCAAATAAGCTAATTCACTGTAAACAGTCACAAACTTTTAGAATGCCTAAATGTTTTGATATCAAGTCAATGCCATTCCCCAATCTTGAGCTAAATGGTTGCACTGGTTGACTCACAGTGCAACGAGGGCAAATCCACTCTCCATTGGGTATTTCAGGCAGGGGTGGGTTGAGGCAGTGGATATGGTATGAAGAGGGACAGGAGTCACAGCACAGCAGCTCTCCTCCATCTTTACACACTCTACAGAATTCCATGTGGTGGTCATCCTCCTCTGCCTCGCCTCCAGCTGCATCGTTCTCCTCCTCTCCTTCTGAACCCTCCTCACGCGCCTCCCACTGAATACCTTCTTTTTCCTGAAACAGAATTATTAACTGATTACTTTCCACATTTAACCAACAAACTACCAACAAAGAAAAGGGAGAAGATATGAAATAAAGGGACATTTCATAAATTTCTAACACAAGTTCAATTACTTTTTTATAAAATATGAAATATCTGCAATGAGCATTTTTTAGAAGAAAGATATAACGTTCAAAAGATAACTGGGGCACCTGAGAATCATGAATAAATATATAAAAGTCTATACAGATTAAACAATAGGGAAATAATGAACTAGTGAAGGTGAAGTTCTTGAATCAAGAGAAACTGCAGCAAAACTGACTAGCTTAAGTGGGACAAAGTATCAATCCAAAACTAGGTCATTCAAATCGGCCAAAGTAAAGCCAGATTTGAAGCCTGTAAACTGTTTTTAGCTTATGCTGAACACGTTTGTTGCACATCACATGATGACGACAGCTTTTCCTCTATGGGCTCAAATATATGCGTTACAAGACTCTGTGTTGTTCCACTGTCACTTGTGGCTGAGGCAGGCCTTAAATCAAAGGGACCTTTTATAATTTTCCATTACTCCCCTTTCTTTAGTGCGCTGTATAGCTTTTTGTGCATGTAAATGGTCTGCAAAGTCACAAAGCCCAAGCTACATGCAAGAGGGAGTAACCCTCTCACACTGCCTCGTTGGAACTCCAGCCCCTTTTCTTTGATACAAGATGATGCAATCTCGTAACACAATCCTTACTGCCTGCCTATCGTCAAGCTTGGCATACACCCTCACACAACAGAGCTGCAAAAGTAAAAATCTACCACTCAAACGTCCTGCTCCAGTCTAGCTTGCAAAGGTGGATCGGGTCTACCAACTTGTTCTACCTGACTTTCAGGGACGGACTCTGGTTCAAACTGATATGGCAGAACCGATGCCGTTGTAATAATAGCCACAGCGGTGTAGGAATGGACCTTGTAGGAGGAAGCTGCTCTGACAGTTGACCAATCAGAACAGAGTGAAAGAGCTGACCAATCAGAGCACACTGGGCTCATCAGGAAGGGGGCTTAAAGACACAGCTCCAACAGAGTGTTTCAGAGAGGGTGAATAGAGATGTACAGTAAGAGAAAAGTGCATTTTTGTAACAGTGAGGCATGTAAATCTATTCTATTAGACCCTAAAATGAAATCATGAACACTGAAAATGAGCATGATATGTCCCTTTCAAATTAAGGGCCTTCTCCACATTAGTAGTTCACAAACAGAAATTGACATCCTGATAAAACCTTGAAATGTTGTTCAGACCAGACAGGTTAAGAGCAAACAAGGTCTTCTCATCTACATTGTTATTAACAACAAACTCCAGAAAATCTTACTTGGCATCAATCCACTGCATATTTTGATAGAAAGCCCTGAATAAATTTCAATAAAACTGCTGAACATATGAAAATGCAACTTACTGACAGATAATAGCAGATAACGTTTTAAAGCTGTCACTCACACAATGTGGGCAGCTCCATGTGCCCTCTGGGGCTTTCTCCATGTCGGGGTCCAGGCAGACCATGTGGTAAGCTCTGGGGCAAGTGTCACAGAGGATGATCTCTCCTCCCTGCTGACAAACCTCGCAATAGTCCTGGTGATCAGTCTCATAGCCATCGGCATCTTCATCCACTGAATGATATATATGGGGGGGGGGTGTTAAGTCAAAGTAAAGGGATCACCATCACAGTTGAACCCTAGAATACCTCTTCAATACTAAATAAAATAACTACAGACTTTGTCATTTGGTATCTCGCCTATTCAGAGAAACATTCCCCTAAGAAGTCAATAAAATTGCTTGACATGATTTTCTGCACTCATGAGAGACTAAACAGAACTCTGCCTGGTGCAGGTTTGAGGGCCTCGACCTTCATCTAAACTTGGGCAAAGACAATACTAAACAGCTCTACTCCAGCTGAGAAGCCTAACAAGTAATACACCCTCACACCATCGCCCAATCTAAGGCCCTCAGAAGTACTCATTTTTGACAAACAAAAACAGCATTCTCACCTTTCTTCTTCTTTTTGGGCTTAGGCTTCTTCTTGGAGCGACTGCTACGGCTGTTGGAGCCATCAGACACAGAGACGCTGTTCATACTGCCATCATCAAAGTCACTGTCTACATCCACATCGTCTTCTTCACTCTAAATAGGCAAGTACAGAAGTGAATAAATAAAAAGTAGGTACAGGGGAAGACGGACGTTCTTGAGGACAGGGGTGTGTGATGAATTTGATACTTTGATTCTATGTTCCTGCCAACCTCAAGAAAAGGAACAGAAAGGCATGAGGTGAGATGCTGTGATGAAAACTAGTGTGTAAGCTTGAGAGGCAGGTGTGACAAGATATAGCTTAGTGAAAGCATGCAAGTGACTAAGCAAGAAAGAGGAATGAATACATACAGAGGACCGCTTTCTTTTGCTGTTGAAGCCTCCCAGTTTAATCTTCAGAGGAGCAACCTTTTTGGTCTTGACCTTCTTCTCCTGAGGCTTGGGGGCAGGTTTGGACTTCTTGCGTGCATTAGGACCTGAAAAATGAAGAGCAGAAGCCACTGAGTTTCAAAATGCGTGAAAAATCCTCAGCCAGACTGTCCAGCTATCCAAGGTCATGGATGAAGGCCTAAAACGTCCATTCATGAGTTCATTACATTTAAGAAATTATTTTGTTGACTATGCCTCAGAGGATCAGAAAGCTGTTTTTTAATGTAACAAACAGAGCAACATATTTATCCACCCAAGTTCTCTGGGGAGCTCAGTCAGCTCTCTTACCCCTCTGCTCCTTCAGGCTACAAGAGTGGCATACGTTATGTAGGGCAGCCATTTTGTGCCCCCTCATAAACAGCAGAATTTTTTTTTTATGGAAACACCACATCACCAGTCAGCTCCAGCTAATGTTACTGATCTATTTTAAGAGAGGATTAAGGAAGCAAATGGGGAGGATTGCAACTTAAATTCCGCACGCTATTTTGGATTTTTCAGGACGTTCATTATAAGCAAAAAATATACACATCCACTGCATCACACACACACACACACACACACACAAAGCATTTCTAGATAAAATAAACTCTTAAAATTCAGAAAGCCTTGCTCACCCTTGCCCTCTTTAGTTTTGGCCTTACGGACAGGAGGTGCTGGAGGAGGCTGAGGCTCAGTGGGAGGAGGCGCTGCAGGGGTAGCCCCCGGTCCCTCGGCCGCCACCATGCTTTCTACGGCCGCAGCTACGTTAGCGGCTGCGAGGGCAGCATTGGCAGTGGCGGAACCACGCAAGGGGTTGTTAGTGCTGAACTCACGCCATTTTGCACCTAGCACCATCATCATCTTGGAGACTGCTATCTTGGGGTTTTTGGCTGCAATAAGTGGCCTAGTTAAACAGATAAGGAGAAGAGAAGAATGAGTCTCAGACAACAATATGACATTCTACATGTCATGAATAAAAGTAAGAATTTTGGTATGAACTGTGACAAATCATTTAGAATCCACAGAAAATGCAGTCACATTAATCTAGAGAGTATTACTGCAATTGATTCTTTTAGTCCAAGGTGAAACAAACAAAGTGCATAACACTTTGTTTCTGACTACTAAATGTAATAAGCAAACAAGGTTATAGTGCAATTTTAGGAGAGTGTTGTGTAAACCCAACCACAGCCACACTGGCCAACCATTTGAATTATCCCTAAAACGTGTCTTTACTGTTAAGAAACTAAATTTCCTGATATATATTGGTGTTATAGCTTGGAGTAAAAAGTTACATGTCTGATGCGACAAATATTTACTAAAATTTTACTGTACTAAAATTGTGGGGACAAATAGTCTCTAAAAAGGTGCTTACTCTGTGACTAAAGAAAAAAACAAACAAACAAAACAAAAAACAATTTAAATAAAACTAATTGTCCCTTAAATGAACAGTTGATTAATAAATCAAATCAAATTTACATGATCCAGTTACCCCAAATGTAGTTCATCAATCAAAATACGTTTGGAGTCAAAATGTCTTTAGATTTGAACTGGAACTACAAGGCTAATGTTGCTAACACTGGAAGCAGACTCCCAAAGTGTTTCTAAAAATACATTTCCAAAACTCTCAACTCATTCATACGTCATCTAGGTCTTAATTCAGGTCGTGCAGAGAAGTCAATGTGGCTCAGAACACAGTATGACTTACAATAAACTACAAAAAAAGTTCTCAGAGAAGCTAAAAGAAGGGGCAGCCATTTAGGATAAGCAGAATCACTTCCTCCCCGAGCACAATTTGTTGCCATAATATAACTGGCTGCACCATTTAAGACAAAATGGAAATCTGAATATTGCCAAACAGGAAGCCAACTTCAGCTACATATGGAAAGACAGCGAGCGCAACAAAGAGTAAAAGTAAACAGCGCTTACCTCAGATTCACTTCTTTGAGGCATCAACCATAAAAATATACCTGGTACAGCTATAGATTTTCGAATCCTGCTGGAGATCTTAACATAACACGTTCACTGAGATTTAAGTTTACTGCATGTGTCTCATTAGTTTGTGGTTCGATGCTAAAAGCCAGTTTGCAGGTGTCCATGTCAATAGGAAATCGCTGCTAATGTATCAGACTACCTGTAGATTCCTTTGTTCTGTTTTTGCAAAATCAACACCTCGCAACACCTCATTTTAGTATTTATCTTTATCCGATATTCAGCTCTCACAGTAAGCAAGTCTGAGGCATTACAGAGCTAAAACTACATACCTGCATCGTGAGGTTTTACAACACGCTCCTGCACAACATCCTCCCAGAGTCTTAAGGCGCTATTATACCGGAAAGCAGATGATAAATGAAGTTCCACCTTTGCCTCAAATGTGTAAGTAAGGCCTCTCCATTTTAACAAATCCTTTTTTTTCTCCCCCTAAATAACTTTACGTAGCCCATCAACATATCATGCTTTTGGCTTGTGCTTGTTGAAATATTTGTGGCCATTTGCTTTCAGTGTTTGTTAGCACTGTTAGCCTGGCAGCTCCAGTTCTAATTATTTCAATGAGCAAACTAAAATATTAGCAATATTTTATACAGACACAATCATTTTAAAGAACTGTTACAGTTGTGTGTCTGGTCTATTCCTCCTTGATTTTTTGTATGCACAGTTGACAGTTTAATAGGTATCCAAATTGAGTATTTTCTGTCCTCTGTATAGAGAACTATTAAAAAAAATAAAAACAAGAGTTGGAAACCCCATGCTAATATAATTTGGTTACCTAACATGCAAGTTGCTAACATAAGTGGCATGTTATGATGCATACAAAAGCTCCATATTTAAAAGGTGACGGTGATAATTAGATGAGAAATACCTGACGAATTGACTGAAGGCCTTGTAGTTGGTGAGAGATCTGTAGTCCTCCTCAGTGAAGACATGGTCAATGTCCTCCATGCCCCAGGTATCCAGCAGCTGGGAGGAGGTTTTGGGTTCCTGGAAAACAATTTCAAACAAATTTCCTGAATAACCACAACTACAACCACAACAACAACAACAACGTCTTCAGATGACTTCACATGGCATGTTTGGGGTCTAAGTTTTGTTTCTTGGAATCTAAAGTAGATAATAGCCTGAGATCTACAAACCTTTAGTTTGCTGAAAACAAGCTAGCACACCACCCTCTCATACTCACCAAGTCATCATCATCTTCATCTTCCTCTTCCTCAGGTTCTTTCCTCTTAGAGGCAGCTGAATTGGAGTTTCTCTCAGCAGCAGTGCTATTCCTCTTCTTGTCTCTGGAGGTGCTGGCTCTCTTCTTCTTCTTCCTGCCAGGTGTGTAATCGCTGCCCTCACTGTCTGAGCGGCCTCCAGCACCATCTTCCTCCACCTCATCCACTTCAGCTCCTTCTACAGGCTCTGGGGAACTGATGGGGATGTCCTTGAGGGAAAAGAATGCACTGTTTTACAGAACTGCTTTTGGCAAGGCAGCAGAAGGTTTTACAGAACAGAAGAACAGGGGACACAACAAACATGGGCATGAGGGAAGGTACTGCGACAATCCAAATTGCACATTACATGCAAATACTCCGAGTCAAGAAACAGATTCTGCTGCAAATTTGGGATCTGAAATTAGGCCTACCTCCCTACGAGAGCGCTGTCTCTTGCTTTTGCTCTCACGACTGCTTTTCTTAGCTTTCTTCTTCTTTTTCACCTTAGGGGCTTCATTCTCTGACAAGTCTTCATCCAGATCATCATCTGTAGAACAGACAGATCCATGCATTCATTCAAAACAAACAATATTTTCACAACCACACTTTAGCCAGCCAGTTTAAAGTCTCTGTCCAGCAAGGACAAGTTGTTAACAATTTAGATTTGCAACAGATGACACATTGAGGCCTTAAACGTACAAACTGGCTTTGATTTAATTACATCTTTATATAGTTATTAATAAACAGTGCAATCCTGCATTTAAAGAACATGAACTTCAAATATTAAATGAATGGTTACTGTTATTTACGGCATGAAATACTGGAAGTTCAAAACTCAAACGTAACATCTGCAAAAGTTACTTTAAGGCACAAGCTTTTAAAGTCATTACCTATATGCAAAGATACTTGCAAGTCTTTCTTTATGGCCATGTGTAGCACATGAGAAAAGGACAGGGAGGATGGTTTGCAGAGGGATAAGCCGTTAGTAGGTCAAATAAGAGCCTGGGTCACGTGGTTCAGCATTATTCCTCTGGTCAAGCTTTCTCATACTCACTAAATATTTCAGTAACATACATACAACCTGAACCAGTATGTAGTGAAGTGATTTGAATAGGATATCAACACTACTACAAAAGGAATCAAGCTTGGGTTTCAACACAGTTATGTTTTTGTAAAACTGAGAAACATAACTGGTCACCTTGGAAAATGTAGCAGGTAGTCAGCTAGAGTTTAGATGTTTATTTGAAGTATTAACCCTAACTATACACTACCAAGTGCAGAGAAGAAATTATTGCAAACAAGTCAGTTCGTCGTACAGGCTTACATCCCATGATCATGACAGCATCCACTGTAACAGACCCTAAATAGATTTTCCAGCTTTCACCGTCATGCGAGTGAACTTGTGCGAATGCAAATTAAACATACGGTGAATTCTGTCAAGTTGAAAATGTGTAAAAAACGGTCACTGAAACACGGGACTGAAAATTCTGTGAACCAAAGTTTGTAACTAACGTTAAGCAAAAGTGTTCCACATGCCTGAGAACGTCACACAAGCTGTCTCCTGCCATACATTTTATTTGCCTCGTATTACCCTTCACAAAAACGTTGATGCTGTCTATACTGAAACGCGATAAACAAAACAAATGGACAGGCGGCTACAGGAAACTTGTAGACCTAGCCTGAAGCTCGCCACCAAACGGCCAGTAAAGAAGCAGAACTGAAGAAAACAGGCCCTAAACACTGTGGGTTAGTCCAGAATGGTCGAAGTAGCTCAACGCCCCGGTACGAACACTGCGCGCGCGCTCTGTGGGGGAAACCCCCAATTCCTCTCAGCTAAGTCCTCAAATCTCTATCGCATCATAAAAAAGTTTTGTAGGAAACAAACCCACCCAAAAATCCTCCTTTATCCCGCGGTCGACCAGTGACCGGTGATCCCAGTCGGCTGTTCCCGTGAATGAAAAGCGTTCATCTGCGAACAGCGTGGATTCGTCGTGTTCAACAAACGTCATCGGCTAGCCGGCGGCTAACCGCTAGCGCTGCCTTTCTCACAACCCGCACGCAGAAAAATACCGGTAGGCCGCAAGCGAGCGAAGCCGGCAAAACCCTACCCAGACATTACAGACGACCAAAAGACTGAGCGAAAGCCGACAAATGTATGTTTTCATAAAGAAGTCATGGACGGCGCTGCTGCATTTACTGAATTATTAACTGCGAGCGGCGACGTTTGATCCATCAGTCCGCTCCTCACACGAGCTTGTGTTGATAGCTCGCTAGCTAACGTTACTTAGCTCGCTAACAGCTTGCTAGCTAACTAACAGCGGCTGGCAAAACACCAGCAAAAAGCCTGAGTAGATTCGAGAATCGATTTAATTGTGCACCCGGTGGCATTTATCGCTAGATAAATCAATTTTACTTCGTTTTTGCTTATTTAACCAAAGCCAAGGTGGTTCATTGTTGTTTTCCCCTAAGTTTCACTCTTCTTGTACTCTTGTAATTTCATTCACCGGTTAAATCAAGATTTTACGAATAGTTTTTGAAAAACGCATTAAGATACCAAACACGCGTTAACAACTTTCTTGTATGACCATATTAAAGCAGAACATATCTTCAGTGCGCGATAAGAAACTACTGACTATCGAAATACTAATTAAATTTAAATACCGAGCTAGCTAGGTTCTAGGTAACCTACCTTGCATCATGGACCGGTCTTCTGTTGGTCCAAAATCATCTCTGTCATCTTCACTTCCAGACATAATAACTTAGTTGTGTATTTTCACCGTTTTCACTCCGGCTGAACACACACACGATCCCTTTCACTCCTCTCACCCAATCTTCTGTCTTCTTGAGGCAAGGCGGGACGAGGGAGAGCCGGTTTCGAAGAGGTGGAAATTAAAAAGAAGAGTAAGAAAACGGAAGTTAGTGTTGATGGCCAATACATGTCCGTCACATCATGTTAAAATAATGCCCGTTCCTCCTTTTTAAACATTACAATTTTTGTGTACAGTCGAAGACGGGAGCACATGGGGAAGCGTGAAAGGGTAAAAGTTGTACCGAAGCACCGGCAGACGCTGGAGTGGCTTCCACAACACGAGCTAGCAAAGCAACACACTAGCTCCCTCGCTATCTCCTGAACCAACTAGCAGGCTAACGGGCAAGTAAAGTGCCTGCTAGCTGTGCCGGCTAAATTCAGAGGCACGGCGGAATCATCGCGTGATGATCATAACTGAGAACTTCGCTTTGCTTTTGTGTTTAATAGACTCACAAAAGCTGATGTGCGCGGGATGGAGAAACAGACAATGTAAGGTTGGTATACTCACACAGTTTGGACGTTCCCGTTGGTTTGAAATAAAGGAGGGGGAAAACGACGTGTATTGCTGTTTCCACGCTCAGTTCCCTCCTCCAACAGTTTAACGCAGCTTTCAGTGTTTCCCTTTTTTTTTTTGTTAATGAACTAAAAGCAGTCGAATTTTCTCCAGTGCAGGGGGGTTCGTGCGACGTCGCCGTCTCTCCCTCTCCCACTAACACCCCTTGCATACACACAAAGAGATCAGGGGGCAGACATCCCATAATAACCCCACACACACACACACACACACACACACACACACACACACACACACACACACTCACTCACTCACTCACCCCTCCCCCCACTCTGCATAGTTACCTTGCAACATACAGACCATAATAATCACCCCCCCACACACACATACACACTCAGGCTCTTCCCCATTCCTCCATGCCCCTTAGCAACCGTTGCCATGGAGACACTCCCCCTCCCACCCCTGTTCTGTTAACATCCCATAATAATAATGAGCGCAGTCACTGACATCCCACAATAAGCATAACTCCAAAAAGAGAGAGCAAGTAGGAGAGAGAGAGAGCAAAAAAAGACACGTCACATGGCAACTCCACGCCACATGACTACATCCTTTCAGTCCCGCTCAAACCTACTGTACATGTATGTAGACCTGCTGTAGGGTGGTGTAAGCGTGCAGCTGTGGGCCTAATTTGGGACCCTTATAAACAAACATACAAGACCAAAAACATGAACAGCGCATGCATTTAGAACATGGAAGAGGTGCTTGTCCGGTTATTAAGATGCTGATACTGCATAAAAAGCAAACGTACAACCTGAAAAAGTTTCTGAAGGCCTATAGGCTGTAACCTTAACTCCCAATCTAGTTGCAGTTTTGGCATGCATATGTTAAACAAGGCCACTAGACCCATCACTGTCTTCATAGACAGTGGGAGAATGTCTAAAAGACAGATAATGCATGGGTGCAGAAGTTCAGCAGAGGTCCTGTTTGGGGTCAAGGTACCAGTCTAAACAGTTCTGCCTCTATTTCCTTTTGAAAGCTGAAGAGAAACATGAGATTCACTGATGTAAGTTGTATTGGGTCTACAACCTCCAAAATGTGCATATTGTGATGATGAACTAAAATTTCTGTTCATGGAAATAAGAGGTTAAGACCACTACAGTGCCTCAAACATGGACATAGGCCTACTGTTTGAACAGAATGGGAACCATGACAAGTTGAATGTCCACTTTGGTTATCCCAGTTTGTAACGTCAGAGTAAGATCATGTAGGAACTGCCATAGGGCACATTGTAAATTTAATGTTGCGAAGCTCTGTGCTGTAGGCCATCCTGGAGCAATATCATTCTTCTGTAGTGTTTTAGATTTAAGCTAATTTAACAAATCCCTGATTATCATTCAGAATGCGAATCTGAGCTTCTTCAGTACCCAAATTTATGTCTTTCCTGAAAGCCCTACAGGCTCCAGAGTCATAAATGTACAAAGGCCTTGGGATCTCACAGCCAAGCAATTTATCACTAGAAGAATTTCACGTAATCCATGACAGTGCAAAATTTACTTTCTACATAGGTTCTCTCGAAACCCTTTCTCTGAAAACCTATTTTCCCCCCATCAGTGTCTACTTCCCATTCATTTCTCTGGTTCTTCTTTCTTCCTTTCTCTTCTCCTCTGCCTCACTCGCCCCATGCACCCTACATTTCCTCTGACTCAGCAAACTCCATCTCTGACACTACTTCACTTTGTTGCTTGCCTATTTTTGCAGCCCTCCAGCCGCTTCTTTGTCGCCTTCGTTCCCTCATTCTCTTTCTCCATTCTTCCCTGATTTTTCTGGCTCTCTCCCAGAGAGGCTGAGCAGAGCCACAAATAGTAGTTGAAGGGAGGTATGCATGTTTGAAAGTTCTGACACATGTACTCACATATACAGTGTTCTTGTTTTTTATAGTGGGAGTGGATATGCACTAACATCCCATAATTATAGATAGAAAAAAGGATATGGAGGTAGTTGTCACGGCAACCTGCTCAAACGCACCCCTCCCCCATGCTCCAGTAGCACCGAACATCCCATAATATAATTTCTGAGTCAAAAGAAAGTACAGACCATAATATTCTTCCTGTGCTGAGAGTTGCCATGGTGATAAGCAGGCGTGAGGGGGGTGAGGGTGGTGGGGGTCAGATTACCACGCATGCCAAAATGCAGACCATAATACTCTTCCGCTAGCACCCCCCTTCACACACACACACACACACACACATATACACACATACACACCTCCATCTACACACATCCCTTGTTACCCTGTCACTAGGCAAAAGAAGTACATATGGACTTCGTCATAGAGCCTCACTGATAGACAAGCAGCACGACACAAGGGAAGCTGGAGCGAGACGGCTGAAGATGCGGTCTCATTGGTAGCTGATCAGGCAGATAAATAGACTAATAGGCCATCGAAGAGACTGGCAAGAGGGGCGCTCAGAGGTTGAGTACAAAAAAAGCATGGGAAAAACCCAACAGGGCAGTATTTACCAATACGGTCACCCTGTTATATACACGTTGAAACACTCTTCAGTCACTTTCCTACCTATGTTTTGGTCTAGACATCAGTCCTTTTCAACTGTTATGCCCTTGACAAAGGCCAGATGTCTTTCTAAAGAGTATTATTCATCTTATTGAGTAAATATCACTGTTCTTTATGTGGAACACTTAAGGAACTTTCATATGGGGAAACTGTACTGATACTTTCTTCTTGTCTAAGTTTGATCTCAGATTCTCAACTTCATATGTCTCATAAGTCTCTTGTGTCTTCTGTCTCTCTTCATGTGTGTCTCCAGAAGCCACACATGAAGACAAACATCTCATAACCTGCACACCCAAACAGTAGCTCGATCTTTATGCTAGATCAGGGAGCTGTGGCACTGGAGCATTCTTGTGTAGGCTAAAGCCTAAAAAAAAAAGCAAGAAAGAAAAAAGAAACAGGCCTGATCCAGACCATAATATTCCACTCCCCCTCCCCCTCCCTCTCTCACCCCCCCCCAGTTCACTCCCCGCCTTCACCCCTCCCCCCGCCTAATAACGCAGACATCCCATAATATGCCGGGCGACAAGAACACCCCCTCCCTCCCCCCATCTCGCTGCCACTCCATAATAATCAAAGAGCAGGAGTACTAATTCACCACATGCACTGTACTGTACTCTCTGTCTGCTGAGGCCGTATAGAAGGCCAGGAAAGGCTGGCTATGATGTCTGAAGTAGACTTTACCATCCACAAGCTTTTTTTTAATGTGTGCTGTTGAACTCTGAGTCATCCTGACCATATCAATTCACATGAATTCCATCATCCATTTTGAAAGGTACAAGACAGACACAAGGTTAGTTTTGGAGTAAAACTTCTACCTGGACTCTGTGCTTCTGAGTATCAAGTTTATTGATTTTGATAGAGGTTATGGAATCCATACATAGAAGACAGTGGCAACATTATTTCTCGTAACGGTGACTGGCGTGATGTTTCAGTATCAGGGCCGTGAAGGAAATCTACACAAAGAATCAACGTCAAACCCTCACTTCTTCATGCCATCAGTGTGCACAAGAGGTACACACACTTTAACATTTATCTCCACACCCCCACCTCCCTCTCACACACATCCTAGCCCCCACCCCTCCACCTCCCCTTCCTATACCAGGGCACGTTGTGACAAAACAAAGAACATCCCATAATATCAAAATCAGCCTCGCCGCTGCAGTAAGCATGGCAACCGAGTAAAGTGTAAGGCCGGTGACTTGAGTAAATATGAATATGTATGCATATTTTTGCACGCCAGCAAGAAACCAAGCATATTTTGGGCTTTGAGTGATGTCACATTAGGTAAGAATCTCGAAGAGACTTCCAGTGTGGGGGATCTCTTATTTTGACAGTCATTTTGATCTATCATTTTTCATCATAAACAGAGTCAGTGGTTAAGAGAAAGCAGTCACCATAACCAGCAGCCCCCACACCCACCCGTTGCCAATGGCAACATTCTTATAATGAGGTCAAATGACCACCCAGTAATTAATACTAAGCTGAATAACTCAGTTACACTAGATCTGCTGTACTGTCATTTTGTCACTCCAGCCATCATTGTCTGAATGGTTGTTCATTCAGCAACCAGTTCAGCATATTGCCATCTCAGCATATCAATGACTAGCAACACTGTTTTCTTCATAGAGGCTCTAGTTATGGATCTTGTTGGTTAATTAAGTGCACATCGCACTGAAGCCTAGAATCAAACTTCCGGAGCAGCACTGAGCAGCATTCCTTTGTCCTCTAATTAATCTGTATAGCAAATAATTCAGTGCACATGAGATCACATGGTTTCACAAAGCGATCACAAAGAGATAGCAAATGACTTGGTGAATGCAATCCCATTCTATTTTCTTCATAGAACTAAAGTTACATAGTTCATAGTTGACTCTTTGACATCATCTGTGAGAGAAGCTTTTCGCTTTGAACCAGGGCTGCATGTTATGGATAATATACACTCAATGTACACTTTATGAGGTCCAGCTCCCTTATAAGTCTACTACAAGTCCACATTTATAGAATGTTGTCATTTGTTCTAGCCACCCTACTCCATTTATCATTGGTCAGTTTCTGACCACAGAGCTGTTGTTGACCAGATATTACTTGTGTGACATTCTCAACATAACAGTCACTACTCATAAATATCCAGTCAAGAGCAGTTCTGTGGTCAGAGATTGACCACTGATGAAGGGCTGGCGCTGATAGTGTTGAGGGCATAGTGTTCTTCTCCAAAAACAGTGTGGCGTTTGTCAGCACTGAGGGGACTGTTGTTTCAGAAGATGTAACTTCATTCCTTGCTTCAGCTTGCTGATAGCACCATGAGTGACAGACCAATGACATAATCTAAAATATCTATAAGAGAAATATCTGTGGAGAAAAGGCATGGAGAAAAAATGCAATGCATATTGTACAGCTGGAGTGTGGAACCAATGTTAGATGGCATTATATATGATAATATATACATTATTATTTCAGGGGGGGTTGTGGCTTTGACTATGGAGGGTCAAATCCACCATCTTGCTAAGCATAACAATTGACGTGACAGCCATTTTTTGCAGCCTAGGCCCCAACAATCCCCAAGTCAGTTATTTCATGTCTAACTTAATTTTATGTGTTAACAAATTCTATAAACCTCATTTCCAAAAAGCTGGGGCAGTATGTGAAATGCTAATATGAACAAAAAGCAATGATTA